CCTGCTTCAACTCAGTTGAAAGCGGATAGGCATTGTTCGTCGAATTTCCACGGAGTACCTTTGCGAGTGAGTCGTGTTAAGGGCAGGACGATCTCACTGTACTCGTGAATAAAACGGCGGTAGAAATTAGCAAAGCCGAGGAAGGATTGGATATCCTTGACCTTGCGTGGAACCGGCCAGTCAGTGATAGCTTTGACCTTGTCTTCAGACATGCGTAAGCCTTCGGGCAAGAGGATGTAACCAAGATATTCGACGGAGTCCCGATGGAATTCACATTTGGAACCCTTGCAGTAGAGGCCATTAGCCTCGGAGTCTGTGAAGGACTTCACATACGTGTTTTCGGTGATCCTCGGGATTGTCGGAGTAGATAAGGATGTCATCAAGGTATACGACGACAGATACATCGAGCATATCGGAAAAGATGTCGTTGACGAAGCGCTGGAAAGCCGCGGGAGCAGTTAGTGAGTCCAAATGGCATGACTCGCCATTCAAAGGAGCCGTAGCGGGTCCGAAAAGCGGTTTTCCATTCATCACCCTCGGCTATGCGGACGAGATGATAGGCATGACGAAGGTCTAGCTTGGTGTAGAGACGAGCAGGAACGCGCAGAATCGAGGAGGTCGGAAATGAGGGGCAAAGGGTAACGGTCTTTTTTAGAGATTTTATTAAGGCCACGATAATCTACACAGAGTCTAAGTTCACCGGTTTTCTTCTTGACAAACAGTACCGGGGCTCCATGTGGAGAGCGGGAAGGAGTGATGAAACCATTATGGACGTTATCAGTCAATAAACTCGCGTAAGGCTTTTAGTTCGGATTCAGAAAGGGAATAGATGGGTCCGAGCGGAGGAGTGGAGCCTTCCTCAATATTGATCTTGAGGTCGTAAGGGCGATGCTCAGGGAGCTTTTCAGAAAGGGAATCACTGAATACATCAGCAAATTCATGGTACTCCGGTGGGACATCGGATAAGTTAGCAGGAGCTGTGGAGGTTGCCTTGCCATTAACACTAGGCATAGAAGGCTGCAATGTGAACTGCTGAGCCCCTTCTTCTGCACAAGCTCGGACAAAAGCGGCAGCCGATATAATAGATATCTTGGGGGCGGCCGAAGCACCAAAGGAAGGAATGGTAGGGTAGGAATAGATAGGTTCGTAAGGCGGCGGAGCCCATCGGGATGTCGATTTTGGGGTGGAAGATGATGATTGGGATGGTTGGATTGGACTGGAAGAGTCCGAGCAGACTGGCACATGTGTGTCGGCAGCCGCAGAAGCGCTTGATGAAGAAACAACCGATAATGGTGAACGGAAAGTGATACTGTGCTTTACCCAGTCAATCGACGGATTGTAGCGAGGAGAGCCAGTTGTATCCCAGAACGACGTTACAAGATGAATCTAGACGAGTGACGTAGAAGTCAATAGGGAGGATGTCTCCGGAAGGGAAACGGATTGGAAGGGAAATGGATTGGGAGATGTGAGATCCGATGGAGCCGTCGAGAAGCCGAAGTTGGACAGGTGGGATAGATTTGGTAAGGAGATTGTGATCCTCAACATACTTCGAATCAACAAAGCAGTGGCTAGAGCCAGAATCAACGAGTGTGAGAAAATGAAGGATAGTAGAAATGGGTGAACCGTCGGACTCCGATCCGGAGCCGACTTCAGATGAGAGAGAGACAGTTAGGAAATGATTGGAAAGAGCGGCAGCGTTGAGGGTTACAATCTCCAGTGCACTGTGACAGTCAACGCAACCCTGTCCTAGTGCGGAGGATACAGGGTTGCTCTCTAGTTTTCCGATTCCGACGGAACCGTTTCAATAGAGGCAGTGGACTCGGGAGTAGGGGCAGGAGTAGCTGCGGCTGCATGACCCCGAGCGGAGGCCGCGGCTTTGCGCTTGTTGCAATCTTCGGTCTTGTGCTTACCTCCGCAGAACATGCAGAGGTTATTCTTCCGACAGCGGTCCTTTTCTTCCTGAGTAAGATGGTCATCTTTGCCTAGCTTGTCAGCATAGGGCTTAGGGTTGGAAGAGGAAGAGTTGTTGGGGGAAGACGAAGATGATCCTGCGGAGCCCAAATGAGAGGACTTTTGGCTCGCGGAGTTGGAGTTGGGAGACGAAGAGTTAGAACTCTTCACCTTGTTGCTGTTGCTGGAAGAGGAAGATGGGTTACTGCGATTTTCTCAGGAGATTTCGGCTTTCCGAGTCCAGTAGCAAGCGTCGAGCTCTTGAGCGAGATTCCGCATATCACGGAGATTATCAGGTTTCCCGTGGTGGGCCATATCATCCTTGATGCGAGAGCAAAGGCCACGGTAGAAGGCATGATGAAGGGAGTTGTCGCCATAGCCAATAATGGCAGCATACTGATTGAATTTGACAATATACTTCATGATGCGGTCTCCATCGCACATCCAAAGATTTTCAAGCTCATCTTTGGCATCACCAACAGCGTCGAAGGGGCCGAAGTTGGTGCGGAGTTCTGAAAGGAAAGCGGTATAGGAATATGCCCAAGCAGGGGGGTTGCAGTGATTAGGGTGGAGGATATCCGGTTTGAACCAGTCAAGGGCGACACCGGAAAGGAAGGAGATAGCGTAGTTGACTTTTGCCGTATCCGATCGGAAGGCGTCGGGACGGTCGTTGAAGTTCAACTGGAGGGAGACGATGAAGGCCTTAAGTTTTTGGGAGTCCGAACCGTCAAAGGTATCTGGTTCCTTGACCTTGGTGCGTACCGCACATTGTCGATTGCCATTGACAGCATCGGAGACACTGTGGAGGACATTCATGAGTTGAATGAGGATCTGGGCGTCGTTATTGGGAGGATTAGGATTGTTACCAGAATTGTTGTTAGGTCCTCCTCCAGGACCGCTGGGACCACCGGGGCCTCCGGGGCCACCAGGATTGGGTGGGCCACCGCCAGGGTTTCCTGATGGGTTTCCGCAGCCATTCATTGGTGTGTGAGGGGGGAATTCCTCGTCTTCCGAACCTTGGTCATCGTCATCGCGACCTGGGATGTCATCGAACAGAGAGGTAGTTGGGTTCCGCAGTGGGTCGCTTCGATACTCGCCCCAGCCATTGGATTCTGATCGCTGGGCTAGGAAGGGGTTAGGCGATCGGTTAGCATCGGATTGGCGAGCAGTGAAGCCACTGTGAAGGTAGGTTTCCCTATGGGATTGTTGGCAAGGGGCGGAATCTGATCCGAAGAGAAGGGGACCCTCTTTTGAAGCAGAGGCAGGGATATCATCCATGGTGTAGGTTCGGTTGTTGACCGTGGAGTTGCGGCTGGTTTCTGGAGGAACAGTGAAAGTAGAAGACATGGTTAGGAAGAAATTTCGACTCAAGGGTTTGAGTTCGAATATACTGTTAGGATCGTGCCAATAGGATTGCAGCAGTAAGTGCACGTAGCGGAATGCCGTGGGATGCGTCGGGCATAGGCGAAGCTATTAGCAACATCACCCCTGAGCTGAAGCCCTAAGATGGATACGGATGGAAGTCCGTGGGGTGGCAGAGATGAGGTAAGAGATAAGTCCAACGGATTGGAGTTCTGCGGACTGGAGAACGAGAGTTAGACTTAAGAGTCAGAGAGAGAGAGATTGGGCTGAACCAAGTTGATATTCGAACTGAGTATCTACAATGTAATTCTAAGGCTTATATACTAGTTAGGAGTCCGATCTAGTTCCTACTCGGAGTGGTCTACATTCTAGGGTTGTCGGAGGATGTATTCTACCGGTCGGTAGCCGATGGGGTCTGATGACATATTCGCTACCGATGTCGGGCTATTGATAAATTGTAATGGAGAAGTGAAATATAAAAAGGAATATGAAATGGAATATGAAATAGAAACTGGGAATCGGGATCCATAGGATTCCGGGCTGTGGTTTGTTGGATTGAGTGGAAGTCGGGTTTCCGTCAGCATGCTCGTTACAATGCGCCATCATGCTTCTTAGTGGTTTGACAATGCAGACTGCTAGTCGAGGGTGGTCTATAGGATAAGGACTATTCAGATGAGGTCCCACTTCCATGCAGGTGACATGCACTCTTTATGCTCATTTGTTGGAGACTGCACTTCTCTATGTGAGAATCATGGCCAGGACTTATTATTAGATAGAGCGAACATGTATTTAAGCTAGCCTATGCTGTGGCTTAAGCCCCAGCTTCAGCTAAGGTTATATACTCCCAACTCTTACTGAACTCCCTGGTTTGTGACTCAATTGTCTCTCACCACCATTCATGAGAACTTGCAATGCTGTCCTCACTGTGAATCACTGAACATGAGTGACATGTAGGGCTCATGCCTTGTATAGTTTTGAGTTGGTGCATTAACAAGGTTATACACTCCCAACTCTTACTGAGCTCCAAGTCTCATGACTAAGAACCAATGTCACTTAAACAAGTGGTCTGCAGCTCTACTCTGATTCTGATTCACCAAACACAAGTGACAGATCTGAGTCCAACATTGTTTACCAAGTTGGTGCATTACACCTTAAGCCAAGCCCAAGCCCTAAAAGCCAGGCCAGGCCAGGCCCTGTACATCACTAGCTACTATTAATTGGTTCTTCTCTCATATACAAGATGTGAAACCCATGTTCATGGCAACTTTCAATGGAGAACTTTTTCGATTTTCGATTTCTGGACACAAGAGCAAAGGCCAATGGAATTGACATGTTCCTTCAGACCGGTTTTGCCAAGGACAGTGAGGATGAGTATAAGAGTCACACATGTGTGCATACGGATTGTTTCCTGATAGGTGAAACAAGATTCATACCTTCCCCAAGGAAGTCAAGGTTTAAAAGCAGTGACCACAGCAAAGCTCGAATCCAATCCTATAGAGTTGGATCCCGAACTGATGACTCCGTATGTGTTCTGTTCCAGCTTTTAGAACATGCCTTGACAACACTCTTCTAGTTATGCTATGGAGCAGCCTCAAGTCTTGATGCAGTATTCAGTTTCCGATGCTGTTGCCACATATTATCTCTACATGAAATATGTCCACCCTTTCATCTTCTCTCTCTGTAACATCATTTCACTCTGCCCTGATGAGGTGCTGCGTAAAGGCACTGGGACTTTATGCGAGACCTTGCTAATGGTAGGCCCACGATCTTCCTTTCGAATTTCTCGTTAGGTTGAAGCTTTTTGAGGTAAAATCATTATGCCGAACAGACACGAAAAGGCACATGGGCATATGTATGATGGCCACCTTCTAGCATCTGAAACTTATGTCGGCGGACACGTCGAAGCTTTGGAGGCTGGTGTCTTTTGTAGTGATATCAAAACCGATTTCAAGATTGTTCCTGCAGCCGTACAACAGGTACAAGGTTCTTTTGATGCATCATAGATGGGATGTTGACTAGCTTGAGCAGTTAATTGATGAACTCGACACGGCCCTAACTTTCTGCATTGTAGAAGAGTCCAAGTCGTCCATGGATGATGTTACAAACTACGAAGAAGTAAAGGCGGAGATACAAGCCCCCCTAGAAGTCATGAGGGACAATCCGAAGTGCACCGACAACCCACTCATCTATCATCTGGACGTTGCGGCGATGTATCCTAACATCATGTTGTCAAATGGACTCCAGCCAGACTCCATGGTCAACGAATCTGTTTGCGCCGTCTGTTATTACAACAGACCAGGGAAGACTTACGACCGACGGTTGGAATGGGCGTGGAGAGGAGAGTTCTTTCCTGCTCATCGTGACGAATACAACATGATCAGGCATGCCCTGAACCAGGAAACCTTTCCACCGAAACGCCCTGGGCAACCTCAAAGACGTTTCGCTGATCTCTCTCCTGCAGAGCAAACAGCTTTACTCCACAAGCGACTTGGTGACCACTCTCGCAAGGTCTATAAGAAGACAAAAGACACGAAGATCGAGAACCACGAAGCCATCATTTGTCAGAGGGAGAATCCTTTCTATGTCGATACTGTGCGGAGGTTCCGTGACCGTCGTTACGAGTATAAAGGTCTTCACAAGACTTGGAAGAAGAACTTGGACTCAGCAGTCGAGCCACTGGTGGGCCACATGCGCGAGCGCAGTATAGCAAGCGTTACCGCGTAGGTAAGAACTTTTCGAAGATCTGGGATTGGAAGATTTTGATCAACTGGAGCTCTCCGCGGTGCTTCACTTCGAAACCTTTCAACTCGGCCAACGAATCATCGTCGTTAAAAACAGCGTAACATTTCTTCAACAATTTATTCTCCTCCTTCGAGGATGGTAGGATCATGGCCTTGTATGGACCATCGAGCTCGAAAAAGATCGAGTTTTCGCTGTGGACCTTATACTCGCCCGTTTCCAGGTCCAAATCGTGGTACTGGTGATTGGTGAATTTCGCATGAACGAGATGATTTAGCATAGTACAGGGGTAGGAGAAGGCGATAGCTTTGTCGTTCGAGAGTTGGAACTTGAAATTCTCCGGGAACACGCCGGGCAGCATACACCAAATTCCATCAGTATCCAGCTCGAGTGGACGTCCAATTTGTTCGACTACGGCGCGCGCCATCTGGATGATTGTCGCACTAGTAAGACAGGTAATACCGGCCATTTCCATCAAATGCCATCGGGCATCCTTTCGCATAACGTATCCGAAGAACGAGTTTAAAATGCACTTGTGAGCGAGCTGCAAGGCGTCATATAGCACAATCTTCTTCTTCGCCTCGTCAATCTCGGCTATCGACTTCCCGCCGCCGACGTCCTGTTCAGTAAAGCCGAAAGTCTTCAAGAGCTTGTTGAACTCATTACAGAGAATCGAAGGGTGTCTAGGACATTTGCTGAATATGATGGGCAGAAGTCAATGTCCGTCGTCTTGCGGTTGAAGAACCTTAGACTAGTAATGTAATCGTGCTGATCAGTTCCCGCAGCGCTATATAGGTGCGGCGGAGTTATGGTGAACCCGTGTCCTGATGATTCCTGCAGTGTCGGTGTCGCGTGCTGTAAGCTTGGCAGATCTCCAAATGCCGTAGTCTGATCCACAAAGATGTTCGGTACAGCATGCATCTACGAGGGCGCTAATATAAGTTGTACACTGAAGAGGAGAGGCGGGGAAAAAGTACGAGGGTAGAACCTTCTCCTTGGTGGTGTTGGTGTTGGTGTTGGTACCGGCACAAGAGGTCCCAATAAGGAACGGCTGGGTAACATGGCAAGCCATGCACCGGTGGAACGTCGGTGCCGTAGTCGCCCATAGGCTAGCCGAAGCATCACCCAAACGGGATGAAGGAATAGTATCTGGACCTTGTGTCTTAGGCCTTATGGGGCACTGCAACGAAGCAACCATTTGACCCTGTAGGGCAAAAAAGGAACAGTCAAGACCTCCGATCTAGTTAGCGTCGTAGCGCGGTAGAAGGTATATGAAATGGAGGTGATATGCGATTGCGTGTAGCGTTATTATACAACTCGTGTTCGACCTAAGGTTTCAATAGGATATGGTTACTTTACAACGTTGGAAAAAAGCGTCCTGAGGCCTAAAGATGGAAACCGGTCTGTCGTCTAGGGTATACTGCGACTCGTCCTGTTCATAGCCTAGGCGTGTTGACTTTCTCTTCGGGAGCGTACTTTGCCTGGTGAAGACGGTGAGATAAACATCCTCGCGAGACAACATGCCAACACTCACCATTTCATTCTCCTTCTTCTCATAGCCACATTTCTTGTAGAACGCTGTAGGGATCTCAGGACAAAATCCACGAAGAAAAAACAACGTGAACACGCACGTATATTCGCATCACTGCAGTTCAATATCGTCTTGTAGCACCCGCTGTTCTCGCTGATGTACGTCAGGGCCTGGATGATTCTCAGCCCGAGCTTCTTTCCCTGCTGGTTCTTATAGTGGTAGTTGTCGTGAAGGTTAAACGTGGTTCTATAGGGTTAGATAACCGGTAGTGGGTTCGAGTCTACTACGTCATTCCGGTCTCGTCCTTCTTACCTTCCTTCAATTGGTAACATCAGGTGTTTGAACCCAGCGGATCTACCAGAGTACTATACTTGGAACTACATCCTGAAAGAAAAAAATGAAATCCACATTGCATACTGAAAACAAAGACATTGAAAAAGCAACAGAAAAAGACTCTCACAAACAAGAAGCATATCCAGATCTTGCCACCGAGAGAATGCAATCTACATCCACTGAGCTCTATCCCAACCGGGATCTTGAAGGAAAGCACACAAAACTTTGCTACCTGTTTGCAGTAGGGGATGTCCAGCAACAACGCTCAGGAACCTGAATGAAGAAATAATTGGTATAGAGCGGTTAGAGGGCTTTCAAAAGCGCACCTCTCCAGTCCTTCTCGCCGTCCTTCAATGACCTCCTCACTAAATCGATTAGTGAACACCTTTCCCGGCAACGGCGGAATGTTCACGCGCGTGCTCTCCCGCTCAAGAATATCTCTGAATGCTTCAAAGTCACTGTATCTTCGTCGAACCAGACTATGCCGCAGTTTGAACGCTGGTATGTTAGTCTTGGCGGGTCAAGTTAGATCAGAGAGGTACGGGACACGAATGACGAAGCCGATACATACCTTGCAGACTATCTCATAGTCAGTATACATCTTCCTTCCAAATCCATGTGTCTGGGGATTACGAACCTCGATTTCGAGGAAGCTTTCCGGGACGCTGTACATTTCCTCTATCTACAAGTCACGTCAGCGTAGGGCAGCGAATTGAAGGGAAAGACTGACGGTCTGCTCGCGTCCTGGGAGGCGTGTGTCTTCAAAGGCGCTGCTGCGGGCAAAGGGAGATACGGTCGTCATTGGGGATCAAGTAAGAATCAGTCATAGGGCAGTCGGGCGATGATGTGTAGTATTCAAACTCCGCCTAAACTAGCTCACACTATTGACGGGTCGCTCTGCCGTTTCCTATACTCCTTCTTCTTAGCCGTCCATGGCGTTACCTCCCATGGATGAGGGCAAGCACCTCAGCGAGGCCCTCAATACCGTAAAAATCCAGTTTCAGCAGATGAAACGGAACCTGGTACATCCGCAGTTGCTCCTGGATCCCTTCTGCTCTACTCACCTTCTCTGTCCCATTCGCAGGAGTTAGATCAGCTCATGGACGCGTTGAAGAGCGCAAGTCTAATGCTTGCTGAGCTTAGGACGTCGTCGCTCTCACCGAAGCAGTATTACGAACTCTGTGCGTAGCCGACGCGACCAGTATCTTTTTTATTCAACCTTCTCCCAAGATATGGCTGTATTCGATGCGCTACGGCATCTCACCAACTATCTGTACGATGCTCACACACAAGGACGTCACCACCTCGCCGACCTTTACGAGTTAGTCCAGTACGCTGGCAACATCATCCCCCGTCTTTATCTCATGATTACCGTTGGCGCCGTGTACATGTCCATTCCCGATGCTCCAGTCAAAGAAATCATGAAGGACATGATGGAAATGTCTCGAGGCGTCCTGCATCCGATTCGAGGATTATTTCTGAGGCATTATCTGAGCGGGCAGACCCGAGACTATCTGCCAGTTGGCGTTGAAGAAGGGTCAGCCTTTCTCATTCTTCTGTGGTCCTTGCAATTTATCTTTGTGACATCCAATTAGCCCCGCCGGGAGTCTGCAAGATACCATTTCATTTGTCCTCACCAACTTCATCGAAATGAACAAGTTATGGGTTCGCTTGCAGCACCAAGGGCATTCGCGGGACCGCGAGAAGCGCGAGATGGAACGACGTGAATTACGAATCCTTGTTGGCACAAACCTCGTTCGGCTTAGTCAACTAGACGGCGTTGACCTCGAGATGTACGAGCGCCTCATCCTCCCAGGTATCCTCGAACAAGTCGTAAACTGCAAGGATGTCATCGCTCAGGAGTACCTGATGGAGGTGGTCATCCAAGTCTTTACCGACGAATTTCACCTACATACCCTTGGTCCATTCCTCTCAGCCACTGCCCAATTGCACCCCAAGGTCAATATCAAATCCATCGTAATTGCTCTCATCGACCGTTTGGCAGCTTACGCTGCGCGAGAAGCAGAGAGCGAAGACCCGGAAGAAACAAAGCGGCAAGAAGAAGCGGCTGCTCGGCGTTTGGCAGAAAAGGTTAAACTCCAAAAAGCCAAAGCTCGGGAGAACGGTTCTGTGACATCTTCGTCTGTGGAGGAAAATGCATGGGGAGTATCAACCTCACCGACAACAACCAGCGCATCAGAACCGGAAAAGACACCGGTAAACGGGTCCAGTCACGAGCGAAAGGGTAAAGACAAGGAGGGGTCGCCAGTGCGCAAGTTCAGAGGGGTCCCAGAGAACGTCCAGCTTTTTGAGGTCTTCTGGAAACAGGTCGTAGAACTCATCAAAGCGCGGCCGGATCTCTCAATCCAGGACATCACGGCCTTGTTCGTTTCTTTGACAAATCTCTCTCTCAGTTGTTATCCGGACAGACTAGAATATGTTGACCAAGTGCTTGGTTACGCCGCCGAGACGATCAAGGAATATTCCGAAAGTCCTGATCTGCACGCCCAGCAGACTACCTCCAATCTGGCCGCTCTTTTGGTCGCACCTATTAACTCTTACCAGTCCGTTCTGACATTGCTGGCTATCCCGAACTATGCTCCCCTATTAACGAAACAACTTTTTTCTACTCGCCGGTCAATAGCGCATTCCATTATATCATCCGTGTTAAAGAACGAAACCGTTGTTGAAACACCGGAAGACGTAGATGGGGTGTTGGAGCTGTGTCACGTTCTTATCAAGGACCAGTCGGATGCAGCAGGTGGTGTCAGCGTCAACGGTTCACAGCCCAATTTAAAGGATGTCCGTAGACAAGGGCCGTATTCCATGGAACGTGAGGAGATGTCTGAGGAACAGGGATGGGTTGCGCGTATGGTGCATTTATTCCGAGCAGACTTCTCTGAGTGTTCAATTTGAAGTGAGCAGTGTTACTTTTTGTATTCTTCTCACTGACATGGTCCGTCTAGCTGCTGCAGATGGCTCGGAAACATTTCGATGCCGGCGGGGAGCGGATGCGATTCACTTTCCCTGCTCTAATAACATCATCAATAAAATTATGCAGACGGTATAAGAACAGGGAGCATCTGGTAAGGTTGCTGTTTATCAAGGTCGTTGTCCAGCTCAGAATTTTTGGAATAGGAAGAGGATTGGGAAACACAAGTTTCTTCAATCCTCAAATTTGTTCGACAGCTCACATCGATTCTCGCCACACAAGTAGACGCAGCCAAACATTGCTTTGCGGTTGTTTCTACTGTCGGCGCAGATTGCTGATGAATGCGGGTTTGAAGACTTGACATATGACCTCTATGTGCAGGCATTCAGCGTGTATGAAGACAATATATCAGGACTCCAGGGCGCAGCTTCAGGCTATAACACTCATTATTGGGACCTTGTCCGGCGCCAAGGTATTCGGGACAGATAACTATGATACACTGATTACAAAAGCGGCCTTGCATGGAGCCAAATTATTGAAGAAGAGCCACCAGGCGACCGCTGTTGGATTGGCGAGTCATCTGTGGTGGCAGGATCTCCCTACGTCGTCAGAGACGGCTGACAGCGAATCAAAAACTGACGTTACCGAGAAAGCGAAGGAAGATGGTGGAGAGAGTACTGCCAAAGCTGTAGGTGTGCCGCCGTGGTGCAATATTCATGCTTATCGTTTGTTTCAAGTATCCACACCGCGATAGTAAGCGTGTACTGGAATGTTTGCAGAAAGCTCTCCGTATCGCGAACTCTGCCATTGAGGAGATTGTGACGGTCCAGTTATACTGCGACACTCTTGATCATTATCTTTATTATCTCTACCATAATGCCCCAGCGGTACGTTTCCTTTTGTCATTTTGACGGCAGACGCTGAAGGCTTGACTTGTTACAACAGGTCGCTCCGAAGTTTATCAATAGCTTGGTTGAGCTAATTTCCACGAGCATTGGAAACATATCGTCACCCGATGTGCATCCTTCTCAGCGCGCACCTCCTGGTCTTCTGGAGGGAGTGCAGACGCCTGAGATGATTACGCGGCATTTCCGGAATACTCTTATCCATATCCAGACACGGAAAGATGCTGCACCGGAGGGACCATGGGGAGAAGTAGATGTAATTGGTGCTATGCTGAAGATGGGTCTGGGACGATGATGATGATTTACTGTCTGGTTATTTTATATTGTACATGGCTTTTTGCCTTCCTCTCTTTAGTACTGCTTTCAAGTTTCAACAGGATATGGATCTGACGGTCTACCAATTATGTAAGCACCATTGCACTTTTTTTCCGGACCGCTTTGCCGGAATGCAGCTGGATGTCCACTGTAACTCTCATGCCCATACGCCTTGCCAGCGATAGTCTTGCGCAAAAGTACCGTAAAAACAACACTGCTGCTCCCCGACAAGCCGTACAATGGATGGACGTCAGCGACGACGAGGACAGGCCACGGAAGACGCCTCTCAAGGTTCATGGTGTCTTGTCCAATGGACAGAAGAGAGTGCAGACAAACGGGCGAAAACGCCTTCGAATATCGCAAAATGGATGCGCTACTAGCATGCCGCCATCGACGATACAGGAACAGAGAAACAGCTTGCCCATTGCCAAAGGTGTTTGCCTACTTCCTTCTTCATTGCTCACACTAACACATCGCAGGCAAAGCTGCTATCATAGAAGAAATTCGCAACAATGATGTGACTGTACTGATTGGAGAGACCGGTTCCGGAAAAACTACTCGTAAGTCGGTCAATGATCGCGACTTTCCCATCTCATCATACTCAGAGGTCCCTCAGTATATCTTGGAGTCTGGTTTGGCAGGAGGTGGCCTGATTGCTGTGACCCAACCGCGAAGAGTCGCTGCTACATCTCTTGCCACACGCGTGGCAGTGGAGCAGAATACTACCGTCGGAAGACTGGTTGGCTATTCCGTTCGTTTCGACGAACGTTCAAGCCCTTCTACACGCATCAAGTATCTTACAGACGGCATGATTGTTCGAGAGTTGCTGGCAGACCCACTCCTCACCAAGTATAGCGTCGTAATTGTCGACGAGGCCCACGAAAGAACGCTCAGAACCGATTTGCTGCTCAGTCACCTCAAGTCAATACAAAAGCAGCGCGTCTCCTCCACCAATGGCAAAGGCAAAGGAAAGGAGAGAGAGACTTCAAACTGTCAGCTCAAAATCGTCATTATGAGCGCTACGCTTGACGCAGAAAAATTCAGCAAGTACTTTACGGAGTGAGTGGTGTCTATTCTCTTCTTTTCCCCGCATATTCATTAATTTATCCTAATCAGAGCCAAAATATTGTACGTGAAAGGACGTCAGCATCCTGTGAAGATCTATCACTCTGCCATGGATCAGATGGACTATCTCGATGCAGCTTTACGAACGTTTTTTCAGATTCATATGGACCAACCTCCGGGAGACGTTCTTGTGTTTTTGCCGGGTACTCATCGTTTAACCTTGTGTCTCGCATATATACATACAAACGCATCTCTTCAGGTCAAGAAGACATTGAAAGTCTTGAAAAATCAATAGAGTCCTTAAATCGAAGATTGCCACCCGGTCGAATGGAAGTGAGTTGTTCACCTAGCGACTTGTAACTCAAATCCATCCTAAAATGTGCTTTTCTCCTTCAGGTCCTTGTCTGTTCCATGTACGCTGCTCAAGCTCCTGGACAGAATGCAAAAGCGTTTTCTCCGCCGCCGTCGAACACGCGCAAGTGTATTCTTGCAACAAATATTGCCGAGACGTCTATCACAATACCCGGTGTGAAATATGTCATTGATACAGGGAAATGCAAAGAAAAGCGATACCTGACGAGCGATACTGGAGGAGGTATGTGACCTTCTGTTGAATACATCGCAGTGATGGACGGTAGCACAGGTCTCGACACCCTTTTAACAAGGGACATCACTCAATCTTCGGCCATGCAGCGAACCGGACGTGCCGGGAGAGAAGTAAGTAAAAGATTACCATTCTGCGCACTCAGAGGCTTCATTCCGCGATAAACAGGGGATGGGGCATTGTTATCGATTGTATACGGAAGCCTCATTTAAAAACATGCCTCTGTCTGCGGAAGCCTGAGATATTACGATGCGGACTTACTTCAAGTCTCCTCCAGCTTCGATGCATAGGGCAAGAGCTGGAGAACCTGGACCTGATGGATAGGCCTGAAGAAGATTCAAGTAAGTGTACCCACGACGTGTTTTTAATATTACTGACGTCTCGCAAGTCAAAGCCGCGTTTCAAGACTCTTTTCATTATTGATGGCATTGACAGGAAGAAAGAGCTTACACAAAGTTGGACGGAATATGGCTGCCTTCCCGCTGGAACCCATCCACGCCCGTGCCATTCTTGCCTCGAAGGATTACGGCTGCACGTCCGAAATTCTATCCATCATTTCTATACTCTCCGCATCCTCCAAACTTTACATTGATAATTCCGAACAGCGGGAAACGATCATTGACTCGCGACGCAAATTTCGACATCCGAGCGGGGACCACCTCACCCTCCTTAATGTCGTACGCGCCTACGAGGAAGGTTGCCTGTATCTGAGAGTAAGGCCTCCCGGAAGGAATGGTGCAAGAAGCACTTCTTAAACGAGAGGACCCTTCTTGAGGCGAAGGAGATCAGAGCGCAGCTAAAGCAAGTGTGTGTGCGAGTTGACGTGGATCCAAACGTGTCTTGTGGCGAAGAAGAACCGATTTTGAAAAGCTTAGGACACGGACTTGTGCAAAACTCAGCGTTTTTGCAACCTGATGGGTCATATAAACAGACGATGGGTCCATCGGTTAGCTGTCCTCAACATCTTTTGACCGAGAGCTGACCATGATAGCAGATTGTTAAAATTCATCCTGGTTCTTCCATGTTTGAAAAAAAAGTTCCTGCTCTGATCTATGACGAGCTTGTAAGTCCGTATTTCTTGCTTCTCTTCGGATGGCTTAAAAGTCATCAGATTTATACCAATCACATATACGCTCGTGGAGTCTCTTCCATACCAAAGGGCTTCTTTCAAACACTAGGTGCCCTTAACCAACGTACTGCATAATTAATACAAACTAGATGTGTGAATGTTTGCTATACAGACTATTCGTATAGACTAACTGACTATAACAACGCGAGACTACATTACAACTGAAGGAAGGTGGATAGAAGACTTGCGCCTACTGATATCAATAAAATGTAATAAATCAAGAAACGAAGTAAAATACAGAGGTTGAGATGGGAGGAGTAGAAGGTACTATTCTATATGATGTACTCATTATACATTACTTCTTTCCGAGAGTCAGGCTCCTCATACTCTCCTCCAACAACGAGCACACATCCTTCGGTTCGCTCTTGACTTCGGTTGTCCTTCTCGTTGCTCCCATTTCTTTTCGAACAACCTTCTGCTCCTCGACATCGACGACCTTCACGACGGCTTTGCCTTCCAGGACCCTCCTGACCTTATCAGTATCAATCTTAATTGACGACGAGGCATTGCCTGGTGAAGATCCACCAGCGAAGGCGTCCCAGAACGCACTGCCGAGGCGTTTCAACAAAGTTTGACTGGCCAAAGCAGCGATCATAGCTTGTTGTTGTTGTTCCTTCTCCCTCTGTTGTTCCTTTGCTGCGACCGATGGTAATTTGGATGAAGGCGGGTTGGAAGAATGGTGTTTTCCGGCCAGAAGTGTGCTCAACGTATTTCCCAACATGGGAAGCGACGGCCTGTCCTGCGTCGAGGGTAAGTTGGCCTTGCTTGACGCTTGGAAAAATTTGGGGCCCAAAGACGAGGCAAGTCCATGGAGAGACGTGGAGTTCGAGTATGGAGAACCTGTGAGATAAGGAAGTGAAGGGTTTGTGAACGGAGAAGGAGAAAAGAGAGGATTCGGCGTAGGAGGCGACGAAGGCGGTGAAGGAATGGAAGATGGTGAATACGGTGCTTGCTGAGATGCCATCTTGGTCCAGAGTTGCATGCGATATCTATAATTAACCGAGTAAATCGATATGATCAAATGAGACACTGAAAAATAGATACTGACGAATCAAGGCTTTTCATAGTAAACAAATGGCCGTCGGCGAAACCATCGAAGCCACCAAGCATTCCGGAAGTTGAAGTCTTAGGTTTTGTTCTCACCGTTGAGAGCAGGGTTGATATTCTCTTGCAGCTTACTGCGGGTCACGTCAGGAATGAGCACTGTATGCACAGGGGTGACGCCGCCGCCCATCCGAGATACACCACCCCAAAAGTTCCCTGACTGAGACGGCGAGAGGTCCTTCTGAGTGTTCGGTGTGATAAGCGAAGGAGACGAGGTAGGAGGAGTAACTGGCGATACTAGGGCAGGAATCGGCCCAGGTGGAGGAAGGTTGAGGACAGGAATGTCGTCTGCTGTAAGTTCGGATGTGGATCGGCCTTCAAGAAGAGCTCTCTTCAATGCAGATATCTCTTGACGAAGGGCATGGTTTTCCGACTGCGACGACCCTAACTCTGTCCGGATTGCTTGGAGAAGTCTGTCCCGCTCCGCAATATCAAGTTCGAGAGTAGAAATGTATTCTATTGAAGAATAAGGTGAGCCTTAGCATAACAGACGGAGAAATGAACAAACCCTTTCTTCGAACACGGAAGTTCCTGGCACTGATCTTGTTACGCAACTGGCGCTTCTCCTTGCTGGACATCTTAGCATAGACCTCCGGGGGAGGCCGCCAATCAGCAGGGAAGTCGTCATCGTCCATCTCATTCTCCTTGGAGGAAGTAGAAATGACGCCCTTGGAAACTGCAGCGGGCGGATGTGTTGAGGAAGACTTCTTTACAATGCCACCGCTTTGCACGGTGCCCTTGCGAGCCTTGCCATGGCCACCAACTTTAATGGGTGCAATGGTGACAGTCTTCGTGTCTGCTTGCTCGTGCTCCTCCTCGTCTATTTCATCCGAGTGACCTGGATGGTGAAATCATGAGTTGCGGATCGATGGCGAAGGTGGCTTGCATGTCAGGCGTGGAGTCAGTATTGAGTGCGCCGACAAAGTCATACGGAGCCGAGGATGTTGGAAATGGCTCCACGAGCTTGAGCTCATCTTCAAGGAAGTTGAAGAAATTATTAGAATTGGGAGAGTCATATACCTCAGGAAAAGAAGTCGGAAGCGAGGACTGCGGAGGAGTCAAAAGGGACTGAAACGGGGATTGGGGCGACGAAGCTCGGGACGAGGAGGACGCTGCTGACGACGACGAAGGCATACTGGGTGTGAATAAATCGGCATTGAGATATTCAGAGATATCTGCAGGAGAAAAGGCGAAGGGAGATACTGGGTTGTCGACTAACATGACTGTCGAGAGCAAGGAGGTATTCTTGACACAGCTTTGCCTTGTACACCTAACCTCTGCCGTTTCCCACGCCTTGTGCACGGCACCGCGTAATAGAGAATGACTAATATATGCGACATGACATGAAAGTGATGGCGTGATCGTTATACTACTAGGGCTACATTTATCGCATCCGTCCGAGATAATCCTGCCAGAGGTCATCTACAAATTTTTTATCCGTCTGCAAAAGATGGTGAGCATGTATCCACTAACACCATACAGGATACTCACATGAATTAAAGTCAGTACTTCTCGCACAAACTCATTTCTATCTACATGTCGTCCTCCAGGGATTACCGCGTCCAAGATACTCTCCTTCACCGCATCGGAATCCAGCCCTGCAACTGGCGCCTTTCCATTCACCTTCATCGACCCATTGACAGTCATCTTCACTGTCGTCGGCGCACTCCTTATCTCTGTAGATGGAGGTGGTGATGGTGAAAGTGATGGTGACGCTGGGACAGCCGGAGGTACAGGAACATCCCAGCTACGTTCGATCGCGTCTCTTTGCTCCCTACTATTGGCTTTCCCTTTCTTTCTCTGATTGTTGTGACCGTTTCTCTTCTTAGCATTCATCTCGGCCTCCCTAAATGCATCTGCGTCACTCAATGCGCTTGTGTCTTCGAAATCCAGCTCCAGAATTTCCTCCTCCTGATCTTCGTCAATGGGCGCTCTTGGATAAGGCCACAGACTAGGGTCCGGTTCGTCAAATGGCACTAGACGTCTTCCGTTACTATTGCCATTCAGAGGGACCATGTCTGCATGGACTGGTGGTGGTGTAGGAGCAACAACCCCAGACTGGGACGTTGAAAGTACACGTTGTACTGTAGTATCTGACCAAGATGTCTTCATCGGCGGGGGGCATGCATGGCTTGCGGATGCGGGCGGCATAGATCCCAACCGTGGTAACGGAGCGCGGGGCGTCACATCCCCGTTCACCCTCTCATTACTGTTTGATCCCAGTAGACCGGAGGGGAATTCCCTGCTCAGCAATGGCCGTCCTGCACTAGCACCAGCCGCTTGCAGCTCCATATCTAGCTCAGCCTCTTGATCCAGCACCGTGCTCGATTCAGAATATCCTGCATCCGAACAATCTCCCTCTCGCGAGCTTGGATGTGAGCGCGAATTACTGCTATGAGAAGTTGATGTTGATACAGACGTCGCCGCTGAGTTTGTCCGAGAAGGCGGTAGGCCTAAAAGAGTAGAAATGACATCTTGGTTCAAGATCTGGGGTAATGAAGTGCTGGTGGGAATGGGTGAGTGAATAATGGGTTTCGTTACGGAAGGCGGGCGTATCGTGGCTGTAATTGACGAGACTGAAGCGGACTGTGAGACAGAGCCGTTAGAAACGGGGGCAGGAGTTGCTGATGCGAATATCGAATCCAGTAATGGGATGCCGGTCGTGCTTGTGGACTGGGGTGGTTGTGGTGGTGGTCCAGGAGCATCCTGAGAAACGCCACCTCCATTCAAAGCCGCAAACAATGAATCAACGGTGAGTTTTGAAGAACTGCCAGAAGACGGGGGCATTGAAGGCGTTATGCGCGAAGATGAAGGCGAGGGTGATTTCTGAGCACCCAGCTTGGCCAGTAATGAGTTGAAGGCAGGAGTGCCATGGGCATCATCATTAGTAGAACTGTTTGGTCCATTGTTGGAAGTAGACGCTGGCTTAGATTCGACTGGATGGATAGAGGTCAGCTTATTACGAGAGATAAACAAAACCAGAAAGTTGACCTTGTGTAGAAGGCGAGGCCGTTGTAGTGCGCAGGTGTGGATTAGGCGGGGGTGGTTTGTTGGGGCCATATCTGAACTCTTCAGGATACGGCTCGTTTCTCTGGATATATTTATGCAAACTGCAATGGCATCAGATGTAGATATGCGATTGTTAAATAAATACTGTACCGTTTCATAACTACAGTTAGAGGCTCCCGGGCGTCAGTGGGAAACATCCAAAGGCCAACAGTCTTGGTGCCACTGAGGCTCTTGTGTGTGATTGAGTCTGGAGGTTCTGGGAGACTATAGACATCATTGAATTTGTCTGGGCGCTGTAGAGGATGCTGCTCTTCTGCACGAGCTATCCTTTCAGAAGTATAATCGGGATAAGACTGAATCATAAGGTAGCTCCCATGCAGTCCCATATCGTCCTCTGGATGAATCCGTTGGATATAATCATCCATTCCCATGCGGTTGAGAATGTAGAAGCCATATGGCGGGTATGATTCTCTGTTGCGGGAATAAGAGCCATCTATACGAAAGAAACCAGGTTAACATGCCTTTCATAGAGAAACATGCTGCCTTCGTATCCCAACTTTTCCCACTTGGATCCGTTGTGATGATAGACACAGACATGGCTAAACTGATCAAATATTGTTGTTATTGAAGGATCTCTCCGTCGTAGGACTTTGAGATTATGGTTGTATCTGGACATTGGGGACATTCCGAGGTTCGGTTTCGCTTGTGGTGGCGGCGGCGGTGGTGTAGGATCGGAAGGTTGAGGTCGAATGCGCTGGTTTTTCTGTACCCTTGGGGAGTCTGACCTGCCATTTTTTGAGGTGCCAGCGCTGTGGATGGATGGTGCTCGTCGGTGTGTCATTGTAAGAAGAAAGTGGAGGATGTCACAATTAGTGACGGTTGTCACGCCGCCAACCGCGCCGCTTCCGCCACTCTGCCAGGTCCGGCCCGTACTTAGTGAATATCTAATATTAGTCAAAATTCACGTATCTATACACTAACAAAATCTGTACTACATTTTTTAAACTTCTTCGCACCACTTACGGGCACTTTGGAACAATCTAAACCAAGGCCCGCTCCCACGCCACTCCTTCCTGAACGAAGCTGGATACCAGCTGTTACTTTCCAAAGCTACCACTCTCTCGGGATGCGGCATAAGCGCAAGAACTCTCCCATCCGGAGTCTGGACTCCAGTAATACCCCCAGGGCTACCATTCGGATTCAAAGGATACTTCTCAGTCGGAACGCCCTGTGAATCGACATACCGCACTGCGACTAGACCTTCCTCTTCTACGGCCTTCCTCTGTTCATCGGAACTGAACGCCGCCCGTCCTTCTCCGTGAGCTACGGCGACTGAAAGTTTGGAACCTTGCATCTCTCTCAAGAATACGGATGACGCTGTGCACTCGTTCGAAACGATTTCCACTGTGACCGTCCGCCCCTCAAATCGTTCACTCCGGTTAGGCTTGAAATCTGGCCAGTCTTGAGCCCCGGGAATTATAGAGCGAAGATGACTGAGGAACTGGCAACCGTTGCATATAGCGAGCGTAAATGTGTCGCTTCGGCTGAAGAATGAGGAAAATTGTCTCCTTGCAGTGGAATGCAGGAGGACAGAGTGTGCCCACCCTTTCCCAGCACCAAGGACGTCTCCGTATGAAAATCCCCCTGCCGCAGCAACACCCCGAAATGAATCGAGACTGACAGCCCCGCTCAGAATATCAGACATATGTACGTCGACGGCGTCAAACCCTGCCGCAGTGAATGCCCACGCCAGCTCTATCTGACCATTGACACCCTGTTCCCGAAGAATGGCGACCTTGGGACGGGAGTTATAGGTCGGCGTCGGAGTGTAAGAGAATGTAAGATCATAGGTTATCCCATTGTACGAGTTGTCATCAATAAGATCGAACTCCTCCTTTGCTGCGAACGGATTGTCGCGCAGCTCCTGCATTTTGAAAGACGTCTCCGACCATTTCTTCTGCAATACACTTCTTGGACTGGCGAAGAGCGTTTCGGGTCCGCGCTTTACCCGGACAGTCTGATCAGCGTTGAGTACGCCCACAGTATGGATATACTGCTGCGGGAATCCTGTATCGCTAAATGCCTTGTGAAGTTTCTCCACGTCACACCGTCTCACCTGCACAACAGCCCCCAGCTCCTCGTTGAACAAGGCAGATAATGCGTCAGCGGCGTCCTCATCTGTCAGAGTGATGTCCACTCCGACATGTCCAGCAAATGCCATCTCCACAATAGTAGTAAAGAGGCCACCAGTCTGAACGGTCAGTGATAAGCCAATACAATGTCTAGGACCATCCACCTTGATTGCTTGACGACCCAAGAGGAAGGCTTTGAAGAGGGCGGCATCATTGACATCTGGTGCGTCGTCTCCAACTTCTTTGAAGACTTGGGCAAGGGCAGATCCACCCATCCTCCGCTCCCCCTTGGCAAGGTCGAACAAAACCAGCACCGTATCCTCTACTGCTTGTAGCTGAGGCGTCCAGGTTAACTCCACATTGACAACAGGAGCGAATGCTGTAACAATCAACGACAACGGCGCCGTAACTTCCCGCTCTTCTCCTTCCTGCTTCCACCTCATACCCATTGACATCGAGTCTTTACCAACAGGAACGCCAACCCCCAACTGTGGGCACAATTCCAGACCCACAGCTTTCACGGCCTCGTACAAACCAGCGCCCTCGCCGTCTTTCCCCGCAGCACACATCCAATTCGCACTGAGCTTGACCCGCCCGATATCCCCGACGTATGCTGCGCTGAGATTTGTCAACGCTTCAGCAATCGCTATACGCGCAGACGCAGCCGGCCGAAGAATTGCAAGCGGAGTCCGCTCACCGATGGCCATGGCTTCTCCACTAAGGACATCGAAGCCGAAGGATGTACGCGTAACTGCGACATCCGCGACGGGCACCTGGTAAGGACCAACCATCTGGTCGCGGGTGACGAGGCCCGTGATGGAACGATCACCAATGGTGATAAGGAAGGACTTGGAGGCCACAGATGGGAGATGCAAGACACGGTCTACGGCCTCAGAAAGGATATCCACTTGCGGGGTGACATATTTGGATAGCGTAGTGTCGAAGGCATGCAAGTCACTTCGTCTGGAAGTGTCTGTCCGCGACATCTTGGGTGGCTTCCCAAAGAGCGTCGACATCTTGAGGCGGATGACATCGTTTCCAAACAGTCGATCTGTTACCACCAGCTCGTCCTCCTTGGTAGCAACACCGACTACACCGAAAGGACACCGTTCCCTCTTCACAATGTCCTCAAAATCATTGATCTTATCGGCGGAGACCGCAAGAACATATCGCTCTTGGCTTTCATTGCACCAAATCTCCATAGGACTCATCGACGCATCCGCCACTGGGACATCCCGAATCTCAAAGACGGCACCCAGACCAGAATCGTGAACAAGTTCGGGTAAGGCATTCGACAGTCCACCTGCTCCAACATCATGAATAGCTCTCGATTAGGTCACCCGCACCAGCGCAAGCATCAATGACCTGTTGGCACCGTCTCTGCATCTCAGCATTGTCCCTCTGCACACTCGCAAAGTCTAATTCAGCTGAGCTCGCTCCCGATATCTGACTTGATGCTGCACCTCCACCAAGACCTATCAACAGTCCAGGACCACCGAGAACCACAATCTTCGCGCCCTCGCTAATCTTTCCCTTGTACACGTTCTGAGGTCGAACATTGCCGTAGCCACCAGCAATCATGATCGGCTTATGATAGCCCCTCACTTCTCCACCAACTCGTTCACAAAATGTACGGAAGTATCCCGCCAGCGCTGGGCGACCAAACTCGTTGTTGAAGGCACTGGCACCAAGGGGAGCATCAATCATGATATCCAGAGCGGAGGAAATATGCCCTGGACGCCCAACATCCGTTTCCCAAGGCTGCTCAAAACCTGGGATGAGAAGATTGGAAACCGTAAAACCGGCCATGCCAGCTTTCGGTTTCGATCCACGACCGACTGCGCCCTCATCTCGGATCTCACCTCCAGAACCGGTAGCAGCGCCGGGATATGGAGAAACAGCAGTAGGGTGATTGTGCGTCTCCACTTTGACCAGAATATGCATGTCTTCCTGTTGAGAAGTGTATAAACCCTTGTGAGGGGAGAACCGCGGAGCAAGATGACCCTCTAAAACGGCAGCATTGTCCGAATAAGCCGATAACGTGCCCTTGTTAGATAATTTCTCGGTATTGCGGATCATCTGGAAGAGGGAATACGGCTGAGGGACACCATCGATAGTCCACGACGCATTAAATATTTTATGGCGGCAATGTTCAGAGTTGACCTGGGCGAACATGAATAGCTCGGCATCCGTGGGACTGCGGTTAATAGAGGTGTATGCGTCCAGCAGGTAGTCAATCTCATCTGGAGATAACGCGAGACCCAAATCTTTATTTGCCTGGATGAAGATGTCCTTGGGAGATGGACCAGACAGGTCGACGGTGCGGAGGAGTTTAGGCTCGTTGTGCGAGAATATGGCGTCTTCAGAAGGAAGGTGCTGATAGACAGCCTGCGTCATACGGTCATGGAGCAAATGGGCAATTGCTTCGACTTCATCTTCAGAAATGGCCTTGCCTCCAACCGTCCCGAAGGCATATGCAACGCCCCGTTCCAGCCTTTCCACACTGTCACCCAAATCGCAAATGACGGAAATGTCGGTCGCCTTGCTTGACCACGGTGAGATAGACCCCATCCGTGGAAGCACGTAGACTACATTGTGGGAAGTGAAATCTGTGCCGGCTAATTGGATATTATCGCCATAGGTCAAGAGGTGATCCAGGTTCTTTCTCGACGGAGATTGAAGATCCGATAGTTCAGACTCGGCCGACTTGGAGCGACATTTGACGATATGCAACCACACGGCATCGACAGAGACGATGGTAGGAACTATTGCCTGGATTGCACGGAGCAAAATATCCCTCTTCTGAACAGAAATAGAAGAGGATCCAAAGAGGACGAGCATTCTACAAGAAACGATAAGCATATCTATTGGAGGGGTAAGCGAGTATCCTCACTTTGGACGACGGTGGCCTATTGCTGGTCGCGATCGCAGCAGATGGTGGTCGTGAAAAAAAAAGGCGGGTCCGGCGGGTCCGTCCCGATGATCGACGTCGGACGCGGCTAATTTAATTAATTAATTATTTCATCCTCTATCTTCCATGGCTCGCACGAAGGCTAAGAATCAAGACAATGGCGACGAGTTCAGCTTTATGGCGTCGCAGGCGAGTAATGGTAGCGATGACCAAATGTGCGTCGCTGGACAGATGCAATTCCGTCAATCTTACCGTGGCCCAGGCTTCAGCAGGCTCTCGCCGAACGCGTCTTTGGTTGGTCTCCTCCAGCTTGATGTACACCAACATATAACGCGTCTGGTAGCTACCAAGGAAAAGAAGAAGAAAGAAACAGAGAAAAAGTTTCTGGCTGCCGCGCAAAAGCACCTTTTGAAAGAGGTATTCCTTGCATTGATTTTGTCTCTTCCCAAATATTCATCAGTGCCATAGGTTACGAACGCGTCGGCAAACATTCAGTCTACGTATCAGGCGGCGTACGTACCATGACCGCATTTCCACGATGATACTGATTCAATTTCTCTAGCAACGAGGAATTCCAACGATTTACAATGGAATACGCGTCCATAGAAGACGAGATACGAGCCCTGTGGGATCGCCTCCACCAAGAACAGCAGTTGCTAGCTGTTCGTCAATGCATCATTCCTCACCCAGCATATACTGAATTTTGGTGCAGAGCACAGCTGAGAAACGACGAAATACGCTGCTAGCTTCGGCTCAAACTTACGAAGCCAAACACATCAAGGCGATGGGTCTCGTGAAAGAGGCCTGTAACGGTGAGTGATCCTTCGCTGGCTGAGCGCAGAACATGGCCGATATTCCGCTCGCAGAGAACGATAGAATAGTTACGGCTTTGATCCCCCAGAATGCTTGAACTCGACTGCTTTGCTTGTGCTTTGCTGTAGTTGCTCTCAAAACTGTATCGTTATAATGTATCATATATGCTGTCGCCGCAATACACCGTGTAGAACTATGAGCCCTTCACCGGTTTTTTCTGAAGATTGAATGTTCAGTACAGCTAAGAGCATTGGACACGGCAGACTTACATATGCCACTGCATCAAAATCATACTGGATACCTGCCGCCTCGAGCTTGCGTTTCCGTTCATTCTGCCTCTTCAGCAGCCGTTTTGACGCCTTTTGTTGCTCCTCAACAGTACGAGGCTACGTAGAAAGTTCAACAAGTAAATCAAGAACAATCAGACTTGAACGTACCCTGTTATGATCCACTCGAACTACACGATCCATAGGGACCACTCTCCACTTGCGATTACTTCCTACCCATAGCTGAGGATGCACCTCTTCCTTGGGTATAACCTTGCACCGCAGGATATGGCCCATAAGGAGGTAGTTGTCCATCGTCTCCGCAACGATCTGCGCGACAGACGCAGAGTCGAATTCAATGAACCCATAGTGTTTTGAACGACCCGTCTTCATGAAAGTGAGCCTAGCAGCCAATAAATAAACGGAACAGTACCGTTTTGTTTCTCGAGATACGTATACGAGTGACGTTCCCAAATTGCGAAAAATAGGCCTTCATCTGTTCTTCGTAAAAGCCGTGGGGTATTCTGCCTAGGTATAGCACGCCTCGGTCGTCTGACTGCAAGAAAACTAAGTCGAAGCAGCGATGGATAAAAAAAGCGTACATACCGGCGACCGCTTTGCTTTTTCTAGTCGCCGTTTCACGTTGGCGTCGTCCTTGGCAATCGTAGGAAGTTTTTCCACGTCTACTGGAGTGGGCTCCGGCTCGTCTTCGTCTGAAGAGTCGTCGTCATCCGAGGACAGCCCATGCAAAGGTATCTCAATTTCCTCCTCCTCCTCGCCGTCGCTAGCTTCCTTTTCCTTGCCAAGTTTTTGTGATAATTTCGAGGCGAGCATGATGGAGTGAGGAAGAGAAAGAAAATGTTTTGCCCTGTTGCCTTTTCCGGCTTGTCTTCTTCCAATGATGTTGAGGCTACCGCTTCGTCGTATACGTCGTCCGTGCTTGCCTGCTATTCCATCGTGCAGGAGACTCAATTCTACTGATGCAAAGTAAGTTTTGTCTGACGCGTAGCGCAAGTGCTGATGAGCAATAGGGTACCCGAAAACGATGCAGAAGCTCTCCCATTGGCGGACACCAAGGAAGAATTGGACAAGAAAATGGAAGAAATTTTATTAAAGTATGTACAGTTCGCTTTCCAATGCCTCTGTTAATTGTCTCTTCTCAGGGAATTTCAAGCATCTGGCCTGACCGATGAACACTCGACAGGATCCGAGTTCAAAACCCCTTCCTTGTGCGCCTTTCCTTGATTCCAATCAATGGTATTCCTCATCTGTATCCAGGCCAGCACAGAACGCAAAAGAAATGTTCAACGCAGGACGTCGGTTACTCCAGGGTAGTTCCAGTACTCTAAGCCGCATTCGACCTGGGCGGAAAACACTCGAGTCGAACCTCAGGGATGTCGACGAAGAGGCAAAAATGCTGCCAATACCCGCCGCCTCCCTTGACACAGAATTCACTGAACGAGAATACGCCTCTGCGCTGATTCACGGACGAAGCTTCCATTTACCATACTACCATCCACATACGCATTCGATACCGGTTGCCTCGATTCAGTTCCGTTCACACTTTCCCCGTCTACTGGATCTGTTTACGCATTTTGCTTCTCATGCGGCGTCATCCCTTGCGATACCTGTGTCGCGGGTAGTGATGCTGCCGACGCAGCGTTCGATGTGGACTGTTCCTCGCAGTCCGTTTGCGTACAAAAAGTCGCAAGAAAACTTTGAACGCAAAGTGCACAAACGAATGATCAAGGCATGGGATGCGGATGAAGAGGTTGTGCGACGATGGATTCTGTATTTGCAACGGCACAACATGGGAGGTGTAGGTATGCGAACTACAGTGTGGGAACGGTTACCTCTTGGACTGGGCCGTATTGAGAGTACGAGGGGAACAGTACAGGTCACTGAGGCTGGTGCAAAAATCAAGCAACTCGGAGAGAAGATTGTGAAGGAGGAGCTGGCGGCGTTATCGGGCCGTGGCACATGATGTATATATCACCTGACCGTATTTGATAATCTTACCTAACGGGCACGTCCAATCACCGCCCTCCGCTCGCAGCCAATCATGTCGATGGAGGAGCACGTCGTCGATCAGCTCTTTCCTGCCTCGTATCCTCTTCAAAATTGGGAAAACAGCCCGCCCATTGACGGTGCGCTTGATACTCAAATCGACGGTCAGCTCAACCCTGCACCTTCCCTGGAGAACTCGCATGGTTCGAATACCGTCTACCCGTCGTTTCAGCACCACATTACCGATTCTCTGGAGGGTGGTGTAGACGACGAGCCGCTCTATGTCAATGCCAAGCAATATTTTCGTATTTTGAAGCGTCGGGTGGCCCGTGCACGACTGGATGAAGTTCATCGTCTGTCTCGTCAACGAAAGGTACGCGTCTTTTTTTTTTTTAAATCTTTTTTCTCTTCTCATTGGTTGTTGGTGCAGCCTTATCTCCACGAGTCGCGCCACAAGCATGCGATGCGACGTCCTCGGGGCCCTGGAGGCCGTTTTTTGACTGCAGAGGAGATTGCTGCTCAAAAGGCGGCAAATGGGGACGATGGCGCAGCAGAGGCGGGACCGTCGTCGGCGACGGTTGATGAAGACGAAGACGGGGATGATGGTTCGCCAATGCAGCAGGATGCGTCGCCGCAGTTGCCTCCTAAGCCGCCGCCTCAGCAGCACCAGATGGCTCCCCCTCTTGCTCGACACCAACAGCAGCAGCAGCAGCAACAGGTTCAGCAGCAGCAACAACAACAAGCTCAACAGCAACAACAGCAGCAAGCTCAGCAGCAACAACAGCAACCACCTTCGCATGCGCATCATCACCACTCTCACTCATCGTCACGTATGATGAGCACAAATCTTCACCAACCAGAGACGGAAACGTACATGTCTCCAGAGTCCATGGGAATGATGAACATGCCATACGGGCAGACGGTGCAACCGATGAACATGACCATGGGCCAGAGTCAGAACAAAATGGCGGCACCGTCGTCGCACACGATGTACTCGCAGATGCGGCAAGCGGGAGGGATGGGAGCAGCGCAGGGCCCATCGTCGATTACGCTGACTTCACCGTATCCAGCGACTGTTCAAATGCACCACGTCCCTCACCCACATGCTCACGCGCGACACCGACATTCGCAGCTAAACTATGCTCAGGGATTGTATGCTCAGCTGAATACGCCGATGCAGCCACGGTCAGATGAGTACAACGGGGGAGGTAATTAGAGGGATTTTTCACAGAGGGTTTGTATTCTACGGGATAGCATGTTTTAGTTAGATTGTACAAATGTAAATGTCAGTATTCTACGTCCATCGCGTCGTCGTCTGCGGGTGGCTCTGGTTGTGGTTGTGGCTCTGGCTCTGCTGGCTTTTCTGCCGGCTTTTCTGTGGTGGGAATGGGTAAGGGACGGTAGAGAACAAGAGCGTGAGTGGTGGGAGTCGGCAGCGTGGAAGACAGCTGACGGTTCCGGATGCGGTCGATGAGGGCGGGGGATATCGACAGGGTGGTATCTTGTTCATCGTCTTCCTCGTCGTCGGACGAGTCGAGGTCGGTGACGACGATGCCTGTGGGACGATGAGGACGCGCCAGAGCAGAATGACACGGAAACAACTTACGGTCAGGCTCTGGCTCGTACCAAGTGGACTTGTTCATTTTTACGTCGTGGATGGGCTCTTCGACGCTGTCGGGAAGCTGAGCATCGACGGGGATGATGTCGTCGGGGAGGAGCTCTGAGACGTCGACGGCGTTGGGCGGGGAGGGCGGGTCATTGTTGTCTGGCGGGGCTGTGCTGTTGAGGGAGAGGTTGGAGAGGGTGCATTCGATGTTTGTGGAGAAGCGAGGACGTTTAGTGGGTGAGTCATCGAATGAGTGTTTGCGTTTCATTGAGGGGCCAGCAATCCATGGATGACGAAAACAAGCCATCTTTAACAATTCACACACACTTCACGTCTTTACGCGAATCTTCTACATCACGTGCTACGAAACGGCATAGATTCAATGACAGACATAAACATCCTAGTATCTAACCACGCTTCTTTGACACACCAACAGTCTTGCCACGGCGGCCTAATCAATTATTAAACCTCCATTGTCCATAAGATAAATATTCACTTACCAGTCGTCTTGGTGTGTTGTCCACGTACACGAAGACCCCAATAGTGTCGCAATCCACGATGAGCCCGAATCTTCTTCAGCCGCTCAAGGTCATCACGCAACTTGGAGTCAACTCCGTTAGACAGAATCTGCGAGTTTTTGCCGTCCACAATGTCCTTTTGTCTGTTCAAGAACCACGTAGGAATCTTGAACTGTGTAGGGTTTTGGATGATCGTCACAATTCGCTCTAGCTCATCAGAGTTGAGCTCTCCGGCACTGCTTCACAGTCAGATATACACCCCAACCTAAACACTCTTTATACTCACCGCTTGTTGAGATCAACATCAGCCTTTTTGCACACCAAGTTGGAGTATCGTCGCCCAACACCCTTGATCTCAGTCAGCGCGTACATGATTTTGCGCTTTCCATCGACGTTGGTGTTCAAAAGTCGAAGAATGTGCTACACCCATAATTCAGCATATCACCCTTCCCATACCAGAAAACTACCTACTTGGAACTGCTGGTGAGCCTCGGGAACAACGAGAGACATGGTCAGTAGTCGTTTGCCTGCAATAACACAATTGTCAGCATCAGTACATCCTGATCCAGATCCTTGCATCCAGCTTCAAATCCACCGTTTTCCTCCATTCAAACGCGCGAACATCCATAAACTGGATACAACATCCCGTTGCCATGTAGAAATACACTCACCGAAGCGTAAAGTAGGCTTGCGTGGACGTCGTCCGTATTTTCCTGCAAGAGAGGTCTTTTGCGTGCTCTGTTTGGCTCACACCGATCGTAACGTGTGATGCGTGACAAATTCATTCTACTTAGGGCCATCATTCTAAATAATTAAAAAGTACACATTATTACAGGTACGCCGATAGATATTCTTCAGCAATAGCAACAGCTTCTTTCACTCGCGACACATCAGCACCCACACCCTGCGCAGAATCTTCCTTCCCACCAGCCTGAAAAAAAAAAGTCAGTTTGAAAACACACTTCCAACCGAGCTCATCTTACCTTGCCTCCAAGCACCTCACCAACCTTTGACGCCCACGTCCGAGCATCCGCACCCTTTTCCTTCAATACAGGCGGCACATGGTTCACATGCCCAACCTTGCTTCCCTCCTCGTCAACGCTGAAAACGTACACCGCTTTCCCCAGTTTCCGTCCTTGCAAAACAACATTTTGAAGTATCTTTACCAACCATATCAGCCTTGCACACAGGCAAATGAAACAATTCCCACCTTTGAACTACCGTTCACTTCAAGAACTGCAATATACGACGACGCTCCACCCTTGAAATGCTGCTGTACTCGGTCAATCGCCTAACAACAGCAGTCAGTACACAATCAGGTCCCAGTCATCTCACGCACCTCCTTGTTCATTGCAGTTTCCTTCTCCCTGATCTGCTTGTCAAATGCTTTCCGCATCGCAGCAAGTCTTTCCTTCAACTCTGCCTTCTTGATCGCAGAAACGTCGGTTTGACCCAGTTCCTATATATCAAGTTAACTCGGGCACTCTCCAAACAAATACATACGTACGACGCCCAAAGCTTTCATCCCCGCATTCTTCTCTTTCCCAGAAATCTGCTCTAGTTGATCCAGTCTCGCCTTGAAATTGTCAGCAATCCGACTGACGTCCGCAGCTTCATGTCCAGTGACTGCAATGATTCGACGTATCCCTTTGGCGATTCCAGACTCTTCCAGGATCACAAAGTCCTTGATGTCTCCAGTCTTCGCCACATGTCTATCCACCAACTCAATAAGCACTCATGCATCATAAAAACTACCACTCACGTCCCACCGCAAAATTCAACACTTGTACTCCGCCACTTGGGATTTTCAATATCCTGCGCAATCTCATCGGCGTCGTACTCTAGCGTCACAACCCTGACAGGATCAGGATACGTCTCTCCAAAGACCGCGCGAAGTCCCGGAATTTTCTGGGCGCTCCGCAGATCCACATCTTTACTGAAAACCTTTACATTGCGCTTGATCCAGTCCACTGACATTGCCTCGATCTTTGACAGTTCTGGGAGACCGATAGACGCCTTGTGCGAAAAATCGAAACGAAGTTTTGTCGGCGCAACTAGTGATCCCTTTTGATCGATATGGTCGCCAAGAACTTCACGGAGGCAGAAATTGAGAATATGCGTTGCGGTGTGATTGTTCCGCAACGGCCAGCGACGGAGCTGTATACTACTGAGAACAAAAATAATGAAACAACAGCTCCACTCACTTCATCGTATGACGATACCACAACGTCGTCAACTTGGAGATTTCCATATTTTAGGCGGCCAGTGTGTAGAACATAGCCGTTGTAAACCTGGACGTCAGTGACCTCAAAATCAGCCACTCCGTCAATTACAATGTTTCCAGTGTCGTATTCTTGGCCTCCTGCCTCTGCGTAGAAACTCGTCTTGTCCAGAAGCAAACCAAAATAGGCATCGAGAGGTATAGATTCTGTTGATCCAACAAAAGACTTGTTGTAGAATATCGCTTTTATCGATGCATCGATATTTCCGATACCTATAAAGCTATTCATTGGACATAAAAATCTCAGGCGATCCACTACACTTACCAAATTTCGCAGAGTCGTCTGTTTTAGGTACTGTTTCCATCTTCTCAAGGGAAGCAATATCGTGTACGTCCAACTTCACCTGGACTCTGGTTTCTGTCTTCCCTGTCGCCTTACTGGCTTCCTTCGAGTGGGCCTGGGCTTCTTCAAATTCAGCATCGTTCACGCCAAGTCCAAGTTCCTCTGCCATCAAACGCGTGAGGTCGACAGGAAAACCAAAGGTATCGTATAACCGCCAGACATCTTTTCCGTTCAGCTCTTTTGCTCCCTGCTCTCTTGCGCGCGCGGCATATTGCTCAAAGAGCTTTTCTCCACGATCAAGAGTCCGAGAAAAAGATTCTTCTTCTTCGTCAAGAATCTCTTTGATTTCCGCGATTTTCCGAGTTATCTCGGGAAACGTGTGACCCTGGAGACCGCGATAAGATAGAGAACAGCGTCGTAAAGTAAATCATACCATAGTATCGACAACGACAGGCATCAAAGACGAAAAGAATGAACCGATAGTCACGCCAAGTTTCTTTCGGGCATAACGTGCTCCCCGACGTAAGATACGTCGAAGTACGTACCCGCGGCCGTCCTTGTTCGGGACACCTCCGTCGCTGAGGGCAAATGTAAGGGTTCTAACATGGTCTGCGACTACCCGGTAGGCAGTGTCGATGCCGTCAGCATCCTCGTCTCCAAATCTGCCTTCATACGGGCGTACTCCCGTGAGCTCCTGCACTTTGGCAAATATCGGCGTGAAAACATCGGTATCGTAATTTGAGCGTTTGTCCTGCACAGCGGATACGAGCCGTTCGAAACCCATACCCGTATCGACGTGTTTGGAGGGAAGTGATTTTAGGGAACCATCATCTTCGCGATTGAACTGGATGAAGACGTTGTTCCATATTTCCAGTACGTCGGGATCATCTTGGTTGACTAGACTTGCGGCATTCCTACCGCCTATTCGGTCAAAGTGAATTTCACTGCAGTCAAATGAGCGAAAAGCAGTCTTGGAAAGCTGAGCACTATACACACCTGCACGGTCCGCACGGTCCAGTAGCACCCATTTCTGTACGATGTGTATAAGCAATTATCACAATAAGGGCGCGGAGATGCATACCCCAAAAGTTGTCTTTGGCGTTTCCCGGAAGAATATGGTCCTCTGAGACACCTTGGCTTAACCAGTATTCTTTGGCCTCTAAATCAGGCTCGAGGTTGTTTTTGGGATCTCCTTCAAAGTAAGTCACGTATAGACGATCCTTCGGAAGTTCGTAAACCTCAGTCAGGAGCTCCCAAGAGTATGCAATGGCCTCTTTCTAGAAGATTTGTTCAGGTCGTGTAAGGGTAGAGTAGTAATACGGCGCATACCTTGAAGTAATCTCCGAAAGACCAGTTGCCAAGCATCTCAAAGAATGTATGGTGATATGAATCCTTGCCGACATCGTCGAGATCTGCAAAACATGAGAAGGGTAATAAGTCAAGTAACGGCGGCGTACCATTATGTTTCCCTCCCGCCCTTATGCACTAAAATCAAATCAGACTTTCTGCAAATTCTAGTTGAGCTAGAAATGACCTTTTGGGAATTGAACGCGCGCTTCAATTTAGACATCTCTGAATGCGGATCTACCGTGCCGAGAAAAATTGACTTGTACTGGAGAAGGGTCAGCCAGTAGATAAATGGTACTTTCACAATGCATACCTGGTTCATTCCGGCATTAGCAAAGAGTAAAGTAGGATCGTCGAATGGAATAGTCGGTGAAGACGGTACGAAAGTATGTTCCTTCGACCGAAAGAAGTTAAAGAACTCATCGCGAACTCTAACGGCGGACCAGGGACCGTCGTTCGACTGGGAAGACATGGTGTGAATGCAACGCCGGTAAGGAGAGAGGTGGTGGTAGACGATACGGATCGATGGTGGTCGAAGGCGCATTGACTCGACCAAGTCACGTGTGCCTTATTATTTTCTATTTTTCTTTCCGTTGCCGAAATTAATTGTTGGTTCAATGCCTCGAGTACCTCCCGGCCTGCTGCAATTGCTGGCCCGTCCTCCGCCTCTCTCTGCCGTGCTATCCCTCATACGGCCTCGCAGTTTCCAGCACCAAAATTCTCCCATAATATCCGTTGCCAGAGCCAGCCCTTTCCTTGCGCAGTCCTTCGCCCACCCTTCACCCATCTTAGGATCCTTGCAGCAGCTTCGTTTCGCCCAGATGGGCACTGAATATCAACCATCCCAAAGAAAGAGGAAACGCAGACACGGTTTTTTGGCACGGCTCAAGTCGCGAGGAGGAAGGAAGATATTGGCTAGGCGCAGGGCAAAACACAGGAAATATCTCTCGCACTGAGGGTATGTTTGTCAACGCTCAGCATTTCCGTATATCTTATATTTTCAGTTCCACATTGTTTGGGTTGCGTTGTCATCACTCCCAATTTGTCTATCACCGCTCAGCAAAAATCACAGCGGTTCGATATTGAATACTTATATGAAGCTATCTACTTAAATTAAGAACGTGAGTGTATACGACAACGAGATGACTACTGGACAAATATCCGCTATCTGCATCCATTCTCACCCTCAGCAGCCACTAGACGTTGCCTATCTATCGGCCAAGGTTGCACGAATTTCTCCGATCCAGAATCCGTTGAGATACCAAACAGCATTTTGGGCTGCAGAGGGAATGGCGCTGCCAGGTTAGTTGCATCATTCATCCCCCGAGGATAGGATAGATACGATATTGGTGGAGACAGAGGCGATGCTGGTGTAAACAGGAACCCTTGCTCAATAGAAGACAGCAAAGCCGAAATGGGAGTTTTTTGCGGCTTTGCAATATTTTCTCCTTGGCTTGACGGAGGTGTGGCAGGAGCGTCCACTGGAAATGACAAAGGCTTTGCAATGATGACTTGTTGTGGGGCATTGTTGGGAGTATCCGTTGCTTCTTCGACTCTCACAGTTTCGTCTGAACTGTCAGCAGCCCCACCTTCTCCTTCAGGTGTTTCCTCGTCGTGACTAGATGAAATGGAGGGTGCTGGCTGTTGCTCTGAGGCATGGTCTTCACTTTCCTGTACACGTTCTGCGGTGTCGTCGACAGCGACACCGGCACCCTCTGCATCTGCTTGTTCATTGCTCTCAACGTCCTTCGCAGACTCGTTAGAAGTTTCCTCCGTAGTGCCCTTCAACGAGGACGGTTCTGTTTTTGAGGATGATGCCGTCGTTGTCCGAGAACGGGCGGGAACGCTTCTGCTGCGGGGGGGATGTTTTGGGACAGGTGGTTTGGCAGGTCGGCTACCCCACATCGGCTTAGCTGCTGCTTTCTCTGGCTTTTTCTGAGCTACAGGCGGTCGCTTGCTAGAAGCTGATGCCTCTGCTTTAGCCACAGGTTTCATCAAGGGTTTTGCCTTTACTTTGTTGTCGGCATATGAAGGCTTTGTAGACAATTGAGGCAGCTCTGGCTTCTGGCCAATAACGATCTTGGGTCTACCATTCGAAGACGCAGGGCAAGTCGCTTGGACTGTAGTTGACTGTTGAACAGGTTGAATACTTTTTGTTGATCTGCTATTGTCAGACTCATCGTTGCGCACTTTGCTTGGGGGTGGTAATGGCGCTCGCTGAGCCCGACTGCTTGGCACGGGAGCGTGTTGCGAAGGTACAAGTTCCCGTCGGGGTCCGCGAGCAACAGCACTGTCTGAATGTGCAGGTACAGGTGCAGATCTGAGATTTGTCGCAGAGCGGAAGGCCGGCATGCCAGGTCGTAAGGGCGGCGTAGGCCTCTTATCGTTACTAGCTGACGAGGCTGAACTAGATTTCAAAGGCGGGCCCGGATGCCGTAAAGGCTGTGTGGGTCTTGTAGGAATGGTATCTGGAGGCGGCATGGTTCCCTTCTTAGGGCCTGACACAGCGGTTGGTTTCGGGCCCTCTGGAGCGGTGCGAGAACGTGAGCTGGCCCTACTTGATGACGTCGAATGAGTTAACACGGGAGCGGGTCGTGACGCAGTGGATTTGGATGGCAAAGTGACAGCGGCAGATGAAGATGGAGGAGCGGGTACGGAGCGAGATAGGTGACTCTTTGTACTGTTGGACGTCGAGGCCTGCAGTGGCGGGAGGGGCGGTAGACCCTTTTTGGGTGCAATGTTTAGATACTTCTTGATTGTCGGTGTAAGAGGAGCAACAAAACTAGAACGGCCGTCGTCAATAGTGCAGCAACGAGCAGTGGATGATACGACGTACTTGTCCACTCTATCAGGCAATAGAACCTTAAAGGCGTCAAAGACCTTTCTCCCAGTCTTCCTAACATCTGCATTGGCATCCCTTGTCGTCGCTTTGATCAGGTTCTCAATTTCTCTTGCCCTAACCTCCTTCTCCAGATCTGGTGGGTTAAGGCAATTCATGTACGTCAAGACACCTTCTGCAGCAGCCAGTCTCAGTGACATCGACTTGTCCTTGATTGAGTGAGCGAAGTATGGAAGAATTGAAGGGAGCTGCGTCGATTCGATGATGACTAGTATGCAGGCTCGAGCGCGGGTCACGAAGACTTTGTTTGTGCGTGCACATAGTGAAAGGAGGGCAGGGAAGAACACTGGAAGAAGGGGTTCGAATGACGTGCCAAGGCCAGTAGCCAATTCTGTGATGCAGTCGATAGCCACGCCCGACAGCCGTGTTCGTTCAGATTTGATAGCGCTGGTAATTGGATTCGACAGCGACCGCACAGAGGACACTATTACCTCTGTATATTCACAACTACCATCCTTGCATACTTGAGTAAGGGTTGTTATCGAGGTGGCAATAGTGTCCCACGATTCCTCCGTTTCAATAAGGGTGAGACGGGGAACGAGGGCCTCGATGCGAAGCTTGACGTCGTTGGCAGACAAAACCTGAAGGTATGTCAGATATTTTCGCTGGTAAAAAAGGAGAGGCTTGCCTGTCGGGCCATTGCTGGTATTGGTTCGAGTACAAGGTGCGGGTCCCGTAATGATGACGGCGACTGGGCAGGCGTGACACTAAACATCACGTGCTCGCGATTGTACTGCACTGCCACCACCAATCCCCATTTAAGCTCGTTCCGTGATTATCTTCAGCCGTAAGGGTGTTTTGTCCTATAATACCCCCACCCTCTGCCCAACATTGAAATAGCCAATTCAGTTCAGGTGCCCTCAGCCCTGGGCACTAACTATAAGTATTACACTGCACTTGCAGATAACTATCGACAACAATGAGTCCTGATCCTCGCACAACTGATTTCGGTTACCCTGAAGACGGCGCTCGCTGGACGTATACATTACTGTCTGAGCCAGATCTCTCCAACGAGCTCACTCGTTTGGCTTCTGCAACTTCGCATGGCTCGACAGACTCAGTCTCCTTCCAACCATCCCCCAACCCAGAGTGCTACAGTCAGGATCGATATGTGGTACAAGATTGGCATCTTTCTACTGGTATTTGGCGCTTCCATGCCATCTTTGATGGTAACTATCCAGTTCTTTTCCGCCATTCGTAGCGGACTGACAAGCCCCCAAGGGCATGCTGGAGAAGAAACTGCTGACTACGCCGTCGAAATGCTGCCCTCTCTCGTAAAGCAGCACATCCAAAATTTCCTGGATAATCATACAGATTACAGTTCGACATCCATCTCGGACGTGATGGTCAATGCTATCTCATCTCTAGATAATGCAATTGCCCGTGACCTCCTCGAGATCTTTCCGGACCCTCACGCACTGGACAGTCTTTCAGATGTCGCCGTTAGAGACGTTATTAATGGCTCGGATCGAGGTGGCCAGAATATTACCAAGGTGTTGCGTTGTATGAGGGGAACAACTGTCCTGGTCTCCCTTGTAGATCCCACCAAGACGCATCTTTGGGTGGCAAGCCTGGGGGATTGTCAAGCAGGTATGCTTTGGTCCTTTACGCCGACTTTTATTTCACCGTGAAAAGTTTACGGCAGGCAGGACGAATCTGGGGTCTGGGAAGCTATTCTCTTGAGCTCTAACCACAATGGTACCGAAAGCAGCGAAGTGGAGAGAATTAAGCAAGAGCACCCAGACGAACCTGGATGCATAGTGAGGCATAGGGTTCTCGGAGCCATTGCCGTCACACGAGGCAAGTTCACGATATACTTTAGCACCACAAAACATCTGATCTCAGCACTTCCAGCTCTCGGTGACCATGAGTTCAAATTGCCCAGAGTGTATACTGAACGCGTGTTCTTGAACGCAGTTCCTGGCTTCCGTACTCAACAATCCGTCGAGCAATTCATAAAGAGGAGTTTCACGCCGCCATATGTATCCAACATTGCCGACGTGAAACATATTACGCTCGACCCAAACAGCAAAGCGAGAGCATGCCTCGTGATGTGCACAGACGGTTTGATGGATCTTTTTGAGGGTGAGAGCCGAGAGGGCGGTACCCTCGATATTTTGGCACTCGGACGACGGTGGCTAGAGATAATTGAACCTATCGTCTGGACTAAAGGCACCAATGCAGCTTTGCATCTCCTGCGAGACAGCCTTGGGGGTGCAGATGAGGATAAGGTATCTCAAATGATGACTGTGGAACGCACAGGATCGGTGGATGGATGACACTACCATCCTGATTCAGCGTCTTTGATGAGTAATTGATATATATATATAATATAATAACCATTAAATACTTCTGCCGCATACCAACGACCGACTCCCTTGTTAACAATGGATTCCTCTCAGCAATCTCTCTTTACCTGCATATCATGTTCCATTGCATTCCTCTCTGCAGAGGAACAGAGTCAGCATCCTTTTCTCGTCGTCCGGATTGTCTCTCACTCTGAAAATTAGGGATGCATTACAGGTCGGATCACCACAGATACAACATGAAGCGCCGTGTTGCCTCCTTGCCTCCTGTCAGTGCTGCAGTCTTCAATGAAAAAGTGCTGGAGCGAAGGGTTGAGACTGCTGTGATGTCGTCTCCGAATGGGTCCAGTTGCGATGTTTGCAAGTAAGTTTTTCTTCACAGCCCAAACCTTTCATTTTTTTTACTTACTTTCATAGCAAAACGTATTCCACTGAGAATGCTTATCGATCCCACTTGAATTCTAAACGACACAAGGACAATGAGCTACGAAATGTTACCAAAGGATCCCCAAGGCAGGACGCTCCTACAAAGCAAGACATCCCGAAACCTGTACCAGTATCCTCAGCTCCAAAATCACTGACTATTGATGAGGCTGCCTCGGATGATGAAATTAATCAAACCATCGATGAAAAAATTGCCGCCGCTCGTTCACGGATATCGCGAACTCAGTGTCTATTCTGCCCAGAGGAGACAGATTCGCTGGAGAATAATCTCACCCACATGTCCTCCGCACACTCGTTCTTTATCCCAGATGCAGAGTATCTGGTTGATCTGCCAGGTTTAATCGACTATCTCGGGGAGAAGATAGCCATTGGAAACGTTTGTATCCACTGTAATGGCAAAGGTCGGGAGTTCCGTACTCTTGACGCGGTCCGAAAACACATGCAGGATAAAGCTCATTGCAAAATTGCATACGACATCGAAGCGGATCGGCTCGAGCTCTCCGATTACTATGACTTCACTAGCTCCTATGATGATGCAGCAGGCAAGGAGGATGATGGCGAATGGGAAGATGTTGAGGGTGATGACACTCAAGATGCAGATGAAGTTGTCGAAGACACAGAGTCAGAAAGCGGGAGCGCAGATGATCTGACCGACAATCAGCTCGCCTACGGAGACTCTCACTACGAACTCGTTCTGCCCTCAGGCGCACGTATAGGGCATCGTAGTATGCGTCGTTACTACGCCCAATCCTTTGCGACTCTTTCGAGGCGTAAGGACGAGGATCCGAATTCCGGCAAGGCTCTCGTGCGACAATTACTCGCGGACAAGCATTCTGCGCTGGTTCCACGAAAGGGTGGGTTCGGAGCATACGGCAGCGGTACAGACGTGGTGAAAGCGAGAAATCGTGGCGAGGCCCGTGAAGCTGGGAGACATGTTCGAGAATTTAGAGACCAGAAGCGGCGCGAGGATTTCAAGACCAAAGTCGGGTTCATCGGCAACCACCAGAAACACTATAGAGACCCATGTAAGTTCCATACCATGTCTATACTCTATCCGTCACTGATCTTCTCTGTGTGCAGTGCTTCAAGTGAGTATTCTTGTTCTCTCCTGGATGTTCTACACTAACTACCCATTTTAGTGATCAGTGATTGCCGACATTGTTGTCGATATCTTTTGCATCTCAGTAGACACATTGCTAATATGCTCGTACAACCATCATGTATCAATATTTCCAGGCGATCTTCTGCAAGACGAGGCACAGATGGTAATAGAGTGTAACTGAGTTTACCGTCGTTCTTCCTAGTACCAATGAGCGTATGTTGAGATTTTGGGAGGTGAAGGCCTGACGTTCGAATTCTGATTGCTTTGATTGACACAGGAAAGCCCAACCTACAAAGTACAGTTATCCCAATGGTGAGAAGTCAACTGAAGTGCTTATCACTTGCCCGTCGACATTGTTGACTGTCAACCAAAAAAAAACTTATGCGCTATGGCACAAAGAGCGCAGTCGACCGGTACCTGTGTTTTCATTAAGACCTACTACTCTGAAGCTCGACCCTCAAATCACACTGCATCCCAGATCAATGGTTCGGACATGAACATAATGATATTATCATTGACTCAATTACACTCCAAACAACCAAAGCGACACGACTGTAGATACTATAATATGGGTAACGAATTTGGTGGACCGTCAATATGAGAAAGAAATCGTGATGGGGTATATTATATATAACAATTGCAAGCGACAAATAAACGATCGGAAAGAAATCAAAGAGCGAGCTAATACAAATACGCAGCTGGTACTACCCCTTCTTGACCAGTTCGTACATCACGCGCATACCACCAACTGTTCATAAACATTAGTATCCTGCAAATATAGAAAAGGTTGCTACTCACGCTGCATCTCTATCATCTAGCACCTCTACCTCAGCACCTGCTGAGAGAGGCAGCTCGCCCTCACCTGCTCCATCGAAGGAGTAGCGTGCGTGCGCAGGTCGACTCGAATCTTCACCCATGAGTCCACCCACAGCATCAGAGGGGGTCTCTGCCCGCAGATAGTTACTCTCATCTGGACCAAAAGGATCCGCATCTGGTAAAGGTGATGGTGCGTCGCGCAGGATTTTCTCCTCCTCCTTGTCATCGTAGTGGTCATATGCGCCGCCTCCTAGCACAGTGGCTCTTGTCGCTGCATTGATATGTTCAAGAAGGGATGAAGGTCGATGATGTGTTGAATCGTCGTCGTCGTCGACAACATCCAATTTATTGAGCTTTTCATCGCGCCGAGAGAAAAGCGTCCACAGAATTCCAATCAGGGCCAACAAAAAGACAACGCCGGCTGCGATTGCAATGGATATCAAGATGACAACGCCAGTGGCCAAGAAATCTGCGAACAGTTAGCGACCTGCAAATAAAATGAAACGAAGATGATGCTTACGACGTTGAGTGAAGCTGAATGATGCAAAAGAATGGAATAATGCCGCTACAGCGCCCGTAGATCCTGTGCTCGATGACGATACGATATAAGGTATATACGATTGTCCATCGTATAGAGCAGAAGATGCGTTGCCAAAAGAGGAATCGTCCAAGGAACCGGATATCATGAGCATACGGTCAGATTCGATTATTCCCGAACTGGAGTGCGTATCTTGCAGAGGGACCATTGTGAGCTGCGTCACAACTGTGCTGCTCTCAAATGTCGAGGCTAGAAGATAAGTTAAGATTTTGTACTTTGTGAGGTATAACGAAAGATCCATACAGAGAATATTCCAGGTCTGGCCGTTCCAGAAGGTTAAAAACGAGGCACCATCAGAAGTTCTAATTCAGAGCTTGAGTGTATAGAAATGGAATAAGTATGTAACTCACTTTCCGGCTGCAAAAATGCTACTCGAATTCGCCGAATTCACTTCAAGTGCGGTGACAGGTCCTGGGATGTCACCTCCAGATCCGATGGATGTCCACGTTGAATTTGAGAAGCTGAATAGCGCGACGTTGGCTTCTGTGTTGCCGGAGAGGGCAATGGAGCCTGCCGCAATCAGCAGCTCTTCGTTATCCTGTTAGCGAATAAGTATGGTGCACGCAGATGTTCATCAAATTTCACGGACCCCAGCATATGAAACAGAAGACACCTCGCCTTGAATTCCCTGCCCCAACGCGTTCCATTGTTTGGAAGTGGTGTCCATAGAGCATATACCTTGACAAGGTAGGGATCCGGCCTGAGCAAAGGAACCTGCTACGATGATGGTGTTATCCTTGGACGATGGTGTGGTGATAGAGTACACGGTAACGACGGAGCCGGAGCTTGCCTGGAAGCCTTGGAGACCAGAAGTGTCCCACTCCTGGTTGGCTAGGTTGTAGACGGCGAAACCATTGACACTGATCCCTGAAACCGTAAACTGACCGCCTATATAGAGCACATCACCATCTACAAGGAGGGTTCGCACTGTGCCATTGATCTGGGAGCCCTTTAACCCGTTTAAAGATCCAGAATTGGAATCGTAAATAGCGACTGCAGACGCTTCTGTTCCTCCATTGGTGAAAGAAAAGTTTCCACCAATGATGGCAACTTGTACGGACGACGTACTATTCGTCCAGAAGGCCCCGGCCAGAACGGATGGTGCAGGTGCTGAAATGGGTGTGGGTAACGACGTCAGATTGGTGGATGAAGACGACTGTCGCGACCAGAACCGCGAGAACACAGCATGAGGCATCCAAGGAGAAGCTCTCGAGTGATGTTCCCGGCGACGTTTGGATGCCGCTGAAGGGGAAGAGGACAATGTGTTGTTCACATTGGAATCGAGCTCTATGCCCAACGGTTGTACCCCTGGAGTATCACTATCGCTATTTTGCAAGAACACCATGCCGCTGGCACCGTACTTTCGTGAGGCAGCCACAGTTTCCTGACACGAACTGTTGCGAGTTTGTACCATTACCGACGAAGGATAGATCCCCGACAATAAAGCCGCCGCTATTGGCCCATGACGACTTTGCAATGTCCCAAACAGCAAATCCACCGACGCTGCTGCTAGAACCGCCAAGCGAGGACATCGCTTCGGTGAATTCGCCAGCAATCAAGACTTGGCCATTCGAATACCCCAGTGAAGTAACCTTGCCGTTCAGGCCGCCTTCAAGAGGACTCCATTCGTCTGCCTGAACATTATATGCAGCAATGTTAGATAGCCCTGACGTAGCGGTGGCTATTGTGTCATCGAAGGATCCCCCCACGTATAGGGTGTTCCCAACCAAGACGGAGGCCGTTACGGGACCATTTAAACCTCCACCATTTAGTCCCAGAAGTTCCGAATTTCTATACACCGCTATGTTTCTAGCGCCTGATGCACTTCCAGACGACAGCGTGAAATTACCGCCGACGAATAAACCGGAGGTATGATGAGCTACGGTAGCAATTGCGGAATTGGAAGAAGTTAAGCTGCTAGTACTTCCAACAGCAGAATAAATATCGAAGCCAACACCCTCTAGAGATGTTTCTGTTGAGTTAGGAAGGGTGGCAGTTGCGTCGTTAGTGGATTCAGAATCTAGAGGCCATTCGAAGAATCCGAAGCTGTTCCTGGTTCCCGACGCTGATGAACTGGTGCTTGAACTGGTACTGCTGGAGTTGGCGGTGATGTTTGCAGAGGTAAGAACTAACTCAATGCGATCCGCAACCAACTCGTACTGCCCTCCTTGACCACTGCCAGCCGGGTTATCAGACAGTGTCATAGTCACAGTGGTGACAAAATTCGACGATGATGGGATGACCGGACCACTGTATATAAGAACAACCGCGTCGTCGTTGCTCTGCTGCGAAACCTGCGTCACCACAGGTTCCAAACCTTCAGCCGGGAAGACAGTGACTTGAACAGAAGTGCGCATATCGCAGTCTTGGAAGTTGGTGCATCCAGGGATCAGCATATTCATCTCGTATTCGCCAGAAGCGGATACATATGGAACCCATTTCATGCTTGGTCCGTTCGCCGCCGAAGTTCCTACTTCAACCGTCGACACTAGGATAGACTGGGTGGTTCCCGAAATATTTGTGTTGGCGACCTTCACTTGCCAATCGCCTGTGCGGGTAGCGTTAGAAGCAATTGGGGCGTAGCATGATTGACTGTTCTCGGAATCAACGGCAGAAGCAAAGGCTCCCGATGAAAGCAGTTGGAAAATATGGAGCCCAGGTGCATTACCCGTCCATTCCGATAACTTGACTTCTACACCAGTGATAGACAACCTGTCTTCCTCGAACAGAAAGTCCTGATAAAGGAGAGAAGAATCGGTAGACAGCAGGGCATAGATCAGTGCAGGTGACGTTCTCGTTTATCGTAGGATCTAGATAGCGTAGCGTCCGCACGGTGTTGTCTGGGATGGTTGTGACACTGCACAGAGGTTTTTCAGAAAATACCAGAGCACCAGATAAGAATTTCGTACCTGAATCCTGTCGTGCCATGATTACCCAAGAAAGTATTCCCCAGACGAATACCATCGGCAGTAATGTACGAGAAAGTCCGCGCAGTGATCACAGCAGTATTCTGGTCTGCCGCAAACCATGTATTTCCGGCACCATCCTCACCTGCAGGACACAAAATATTCGATATATTGCCGAAATTAGCGTCTGTGGATGACGGAGAGGCGACGATCTCGGCATTCTGGAGAGGAATGGGAACGAGAGATGAGGAAAAAGGAGTGGCTCCCGCCGAGAAGGGAACATTTGGATTATTTGTACTGTTGATAGTGGTTCCATTGCCTTGAAAAGATGTAATGAAGGAGCCGGAAAAGAAAAGACTGGACTCGGACGAGTTGGTGGTAATTGAAAGGACCTTGGCGTTAGCACCTGTGACGCCCTTGAACGGAGGCGCCGACCACGAGCTTGTACTCGGATCCCAAACAGCGATAGAGGAGCCTGGGGATGTAAACGATCCTCCCGCCCACAGCTTCTTGTTCTTGTCATCACAGAACACCGCGTCGATCTCGCCGTTGGGTCCGTTGCTACCCAGAGCAGCGAATTGGTCAGATGAGGCAGTATATGACGCGACGTTGACTGCAGACGTTGAGCCGATGGATGAGAATAGACCCCCGAAATAGAAAACGTCGTCTAGCACGCAGCCGGCCACGATGCGGCCACCTGTATTGGTGGCAGCGAGGATAGATAGCTCGCCGTTGTCAGAACGGGAAAGTAGGGTAGCGGTGGATGCGTCGAGCGTCGAGGAAGAGTTTTGAAAAAAGTCGAGACCAGCAAAAGTGCCTACAAGACCGACCTTGCCCATACGGTCAAAATCGACTAGTGGTAACGCTGCTAGAACGGCATTTGCAAGGAGGACAGAGAAAAGGCAGCGAAGGAGCTGCATGGCGGGCAGCTTTTAGGCACCGTTGTCAGCTACGCACGACGATGGCGCGATTGCCTGGAAGGACGACGACCGCGGCGGCTGGCAACGTAAGTGACGACGAGAAACGTTGAAGACGTCTGGTCCTGAGACTCAGAGTTATTTTTCAACCTGCCAACCGGGCACGTGACATCATTAATACAAAAAAGTGATAACAGGTCCAGTACTAATTCTCTAGTCTACGGCCTCTCTCGCTAATTGTGCTTCACCTTGACATCACTCAAGTCTCTGGTCAGCCCTACTGGAACATTGAAGGGTGAACCATTGTCAAGCATCCTGCGTAGTCATTAAGCTATGTACTCCATCTAGGGGAATAAAACTCACTGAGGGAATCGATACCGGTAGGATGATAGGACGCTTTGCTTCAGCAAAAAACAGCCTTTCGTTCGACTGTTCTTGCGTCAGGAATGTGTGATTGAGATTTCTCTCAAAGTCCTGTCTAACGGGGGCCTGTCGTTCCGCCATCCAACGAGTAAGCAATGCATCTTCGCCCGGAGATGGTGCAAATTTGTAGGCAACAGCAACAGCGACAGCAGCAAGGGCAGCATTTCTCCATCCTGCACCGAATCCTAGACGCCCAAGTCAGGCAGCTGCCAGATCGAAGACGCGGCAAACACGAACCTTCCTTGGGATACACGGTGGTGTCCTCTTCATGATGTTCGTGGGAATGAGAATCAGAATATGCTCTGGTTTGTGACAGAGCAGCCCGACGAGGGGCAGCTCGAGAAAGACGCGCCGCCGCTGCAAACGACATTGACGGACGAGATGAACGAGTGGACAAATGAGAATCTGGCAATTACCGGCCGCCCATCGGAAAGGACCGGAGCCGGACCGGAGACCGAACAGTACTGGTCGAACTCGAACCACCACGATGTCTAGCATTGCCATTAATCTGGATATTTCTTGCTCGCCGCTGTTTCCTCAGGATGATTATATCGAACATCCCTCTACACGCTCTTTCTCCTCGTCGGCGTCGTCATCCTCGGCTCACTCCTCAGCACAGTCTTCTACATCCTCAGTCGATCGCTTCTCTTCGCCGTATTCTTCAGAGCTCGTGTCGTTACTGCTGTCTAGATCAACTACAGCCTACAGTGCCTCTGCGAAGCGTTTTTGCTCCTCTGTAACGCGTCTCAGCGAACAAGAGAAACCCCTTCCTGCGCTGCCGCTTTCGTGTCCGCCTCGCATTCCACCCCAAGAAATCATTTCGTTCCTTGACTTGATGGAAGCTTTGGATGCTGATGTTGAACTACAAGTGTCCAGGATCAAGGAACACATTGACGAAGCACGCAAACTGATACTCGTCTACAAGGAAGAAAGGGAAACAAAGCGGGAGCAAGCACGAAAGGACCGGGAATTAGGTGAAGAGTCAGACTAAAGAGATTGGTAGCGACTTTTGGCTGGGTGTATGAAAGATACCTACTTTTGTAATCCTTGTATTGATGGTCGTCATCGTCACGGGGTCACGGTCCCCTAAGTACCTCTTTCACTCGAACCTTCATCATCTACAATGTGTATGTCCTCGTTATGTCGTCCCTCACACAGCTGGCAGTAATGAGCATGCAGCATCTCGCCCTGAACATACTCGCAAGAGCTCTCTCGACCCAGATGCAATGCATAACCTCGAGAAGCGCCTCAGTGAACGCCCTGACAAGAACGAGTTGGTAGAGCGTAATATTCTGAAGGGTACGTATATTGTCCCCCTCTGATGTATTTCTCTCACCGATTAAGTACCGGCTGTCAGACGACAAGGGCATTGCCCCCGCCCTTGTAGCAGCCAAGGAGAAACTACAAAGATCACAGCTCGAGGTTCGTATATGCACCTTGTACAATGCATCGACTACATCTGAATGACATAGGACAAACTCGATCATGCGTTACAGCAGCGCCCAAAGGCGGAGGAGCTCGTCAAGGGTGGTATCTTACTTGGTACGCCTACTATCGAGTATCCATAGCGCCCATCTGATCATCGCCAGCAGCAAGTGAAGCACCCATTGAGCAGGAATAAATGAGGTATTATAATTTTGAGTTGTAACAATAGCTGTTATGCATGTATGAGCAACAGAATTCATGGACGGAAAGGCAAATATTATCCTCACTTTATGGCATCTATATTATGAACGGCTATTCCTTCGCAGTTTGTCCCTCATCTCGGTCGCTGCTCGTCTCGTTCCAGCACCGCCTGCCCAACCCCTTTGCCTCAGCCAACCAACTAATTTGGGTGTCAAGCCGGCAGTGAGTCCAATGCGGACAGGAACGAATAGGGTTTTGTGAATGGTGTACGCGAGCACAATCATTGCATAGAGACCTTCATTGCCCCCCTGCTCAACGCTTCTGACGGTGGAGTCCATGTCTTCCTGACCTGGATCCGGCGGCCGAGAGTGTACAAGACTGACGACCGCCTCTTTTGCGGATGCTGCAAATTGGGAGACTTGCTGGGCACCAATAAGATTGATGGCTGCAAATGCGACGCCAAAGTCGACGACAGAAAGGACGAGGTAGACGCCAAGCGCGTACCAGCCGTAAGACTTGATGAGATGCTTCAGTCGTTCTGTGAGAGTCGCATTTGGAGGCAAGTTTGATGAAGGATGAGGCGACGAGGAGAGTCGAGCTGGAAAATGAGAAAAGAGACGAGAATGAGAAGTACGAGGGCCATGCTGGACAACTCCAGGCCGCAAAACAGGGAGCAACGGTGCTTGTAACCTGGGAACGACGCTACGCAGGAAAGGTAGACGGAAAATACGACGGGACATGGAAGCCAGGTAGTCGAATGCCGGTCTCTGACGTCCACTCCTCGGCAATCCTGTGACAATCACATCACGTGCTTACCATGTCGGATATCACCGTTCCCTTTCCTAAAAGAAATTTTCGACGAGTTTTTTTTTTCTTCATCTCATGCATCCACAGCCTTTCGTCGCAAAGACTCATTTATATCCTCCTCCTCGATAGCATCTGCCAGTGAATGGAACAGCACACAGGCTCTGCTCCCTTTGAAGGCCCTGAAAAACTCCTTGAGATCTGGTTTGCACCGTCTCCAGCTCATTTGCCCGATGCCAACGGTTCTGCGGATGGTAAAATCGGCCTCAGAAAGGTCGAACGAGCTGTGTGGGAGGGCATGCTCGACATCGTCAAGTGCAGTGTCCTCAGCATGGTATCTGGCGCCGATTTCGACGCCTATCTGCTAAGGTAACCGTCACTTCCCATGAAGCCCTTGCCGTCGCATTTAGTGTCAAACTGCCAGCGAATCTTCTCTATTCGTTTCCCCCCACCGTCTTATTTTGAAGACATGCGGTACTACCCTTAATCTTCTCGGGCTTCCCCGTATCCTGGAGATTGCCGCAGTCCATGCCGACTTGCACACCGTCTATCGCTGTTTCTATTCTCGCAAGTCATTCATGTTTCCTGATCGCCAGCATGGTCCCCATCGCGACTGGAAATATGAAGTTGAATTTCTTGACAATATCTTTGCCAATGGCGCCGCCTATACCGTCGGAAAGGTGAACGGTGATCACTGGCTTCTCTACCTCACCAATCCAGAGGAGGAAGTCTCTCCATCTCTATCTATACCGCCGGCCATCGATACCACCTGCGATCTTGAATTCCCCGACTACACCATAGAGATCCTCATGAGCGACCTTTCGCCCTCGGCACGCGAACGTTTCTTCCTTTCTTCCCCTACAGATGATCCAGCCCTCCACGCTGCGGCCTTGTCCCAATCCTTAGCAATCACCGAGATCTTTCCGTCACACCTCACCACTCTTGATGCATATTCCTTTTCTCCATGTGGATACTCTTCAAATGCACTTATCAAGTGGGGTGAAGACTCGTCATTCGTGGCTTCCCCAAACGGCGCCAATACTCATCCTGGCGAAGGGTACTATACTATCCATGTCACTCCAGAAGAAGGCTGGTCTTATGCCAGTTTTGAATGCAACGTTCCACTGCCTCCCTCCCGTCCATCGCCTAACGATCCTCGCACGATCCCAGACCTCAAAACGCTCATCCAGCGTGTTGTTTCTATTTTCCAGCCCGGCCGGCTCACTCTCACACTCTTCATTTCCTGCGAAGAGAATGAAGTTGATATAGGAGAGAGGAGCCCCGTCGAAGCTGCCCAGCAAGCTTTCCGCGCTGCGCTTTGTGTACCCGTCGCCAAGCAGCACGGCAAGGTCAATGGCAATCAACTGAACGGCCTATCCCCCGGAACATACAAAAGGACGGACAAGATTAACTACGAGTTTGGAGGGTATGACCTTGCATTCGCTAGCTTTGAGCTGGTATCGTAAAACATGGATTGTAATCGTACAATGCTATAGATACTCCTTAAAGATATACAATGATTACAACTACAATGTGTTTAACCAATCTCTGATTGTCTCTCGGAGTCACCCTTGACTTGGATGGAAGATGGTCCCTTGTTCTTGCTCGCGCAATGTGGACAGAGACTATTGAACATGTCGACCATTGGCCAGGTGATGTTTGCCTGGAACTACGCTGTCAGCTCATCCTTTCCGGACCAACGAGACGACTCACAAAATATAAGCCTCGAAGTTCCCGAAGCATCTCGTACGATGCTGAATGATTGCGATGTGTGTATGTCAAGATATCCCACATCTGACTTCGAACAGGAACACGTTCAAAAGCATTCCGCCAGTCAACGGCCCCCTCTTCGTAGTCGGGCCCCGTGTCGACATCAATAGAAGGCAGCGGCGCAGTTCCAGTTCCGTCTGCGTGGTTTCTATACTGACGAAGAAGGCTTTCCTCGTCCCAGTCGGCCGATTGAAAAACAATGTCACGAGGAATAAGAAGTATGCTGTATTTGTTCGATCCGGAGCGGACATGATGGTGTGCCATCCATTCGCGGATATGAGTTGCGAACCTAGTTACTCCCTTTCCTGCCAGGTAATTAGCGACTGCCGAATACATCTCTGGAGCCATCGGCGCGGTATCGCGAAGGTTCGGTATAAGACCGTTGAGGAAGTTGTCAAGTGCCTCTTCATACCTTATCTTCACAGGCATCTGTTCCGGATCCACCTTCATGAGTCCCTGTAGGATGGTGTGTGGAAGTGGAAGGATAGAAGGATGGGACCACGGTTGAAGGGGGACACGGTTTTTGATCATCGCGGGCATATCCTTCTTCAGGAAGGATACCGATGATGGAGAGTGATAAAAGACAGATGCAGTCGAATGTTGTGACCGCTGCTGTGGTGCGACATCGGTTCTGGATGTTGGCGTCCGACTGCTACTCTCTGCACGGATAGATGAAGATGGCGCGCTAGAGCTAGGTGCCGGCGGTGGAGAGTCTCGGTCTGCATTGGCTTTTGGTGCGATAGAAGTAACAGGCGTCTCTGTAGTAGAGGCCTTACTCCTCCTTTTAGGTGAATAAACACAGTTTGGATTGTTATCCATTTGACATTGATCGCAAACAGGGACATTCCTGTCGCACTACAAAAAAGGAAAGTTCAGAGACATGACAAGCAAAAAGCAAAAGCAACGGCGAACCTTCAAATTATTCAGTCGACAAGTATCGCATCTAGGAATGCCTCGGTGAGCAGGAGTTGGTAGAGGAGTATATTTGCATTCTCGTCCTGGAACCCAGGTGCATTGATTGCAGCTCGGCTGCACCCTATCGCACTGGCTTTGGTGTCAGATGACAACATCAAAAGTAGGATGAAAGGAAAACTTGAACCTTCAGATTATGTGCCCGGCAAGCATCGCAACGAAGTTTACCGCGACGTCCCACCCAAAGCGACTGGCGAGCCATGTAGACTCTGGGATTGGGTATGCGTATAGTCAACTGTGCGTCATCTGACCCGTCTGCCGACGCACTTCGAGATGTCTGGTGGTCAATTTCAGGACGGGAATCAGTGGCACTCATGACGTTCGATGAGACTTGACGAGGGAGACGGCCTATGTACTACTTCCCTCAAATACGGATTGTCGCACCTGCAAAGGTTAATTCAGCATCAAACATTTGCGATCCATAAAAAATAGGTGGGAATGATATCTGCGCTGTCAAAAGCAAGGTGCTCCAGCCTCAACGACATTTACGGCGTTGTAAGATGATCACCGGAACAAAGCGGTTGAATGAAAGCTCACCGGTACAATTGTAGCAAGGCAAATATTTCAAGGCCGCAGATGGCTAGAATATAAAAAGGATGGGCACAGAAATTTGGCGGGGAGTCGTTAAAACGATGATACAATGATGAAGCACAGAGGTTGCTGAACCACGTCCGTTCCTGTGACACTTACGTGACTTTGACCTTTGTACCGTCACGCAGACGTAGTGGTTGCCCAATGGTCGCCACCCAATTATTTATGACCTATTATTCAAAGGAACTCTGTTTTTCGGAGATAACCTTTACCTAGAACTCGTTTTTCTTTTTCTTCCCAAATGTTTTAGGCAGAAGAAGTTCTTGCCCCCTTTAATACACTTGCCATTCACCTTCCTCAGATACTACTTCTTTCTTGCCACGAAATACAGTTTTTTAAATGTCCAGCCGTTTCATATGTTGAGCCTACTAGGGCCATGCATTGGAGCCGTAGCGTGCAATGCTCATGTTCTTGATTTCTGGATCAGGACCATCCTGATTCCTTACCGCCGCATGCCTGATGCACAGTGCACACGGCCGTGGGGCCTGCTGGCCTGTTCTTCAAGCATCCCGGTTCTCCTTATAAGTTAAGAAATACAGAATTGATTTCATAGGTGAGTCAGCCTGATAAATTGTTACAAACCCAGAGCCTCATCCACCGCACACACCAGCTTTACAGCCCCCCAGTTGACAGCCAGAAAGGTATCAGATGATCTCTTGCCGTACGTTGGACGCTATGTTTTCGGTTACAAGAAGGACTTCCCCACGCCAATCACAAAGGGTCGCTCGCTTGCTAGTACTCTTGGGGGTTCCAGCGAGAGGCTAGTCCCGGTACGGGTACTATCGTGAAAGAAAGTCGCTGCGGACTCGGCGGCGATGGCAGTGTCAACTTGTACAGCCATTCTCGAACCTTCATAGGTCGGAACTCGGCTAATGTCCTAAAGCTCGCCTGAGAATCCTTATCTGTCGAAATGTTTCATTCCCACAACATTTCTGCCCCATTAGGAGGGAATTTCGCCAGAATCTAAATCTGGACCAGCAGTGGTTTGAAGCACTCTAGCTGTTTGCGTCAGTATTTTGACTTCTTCACATGCATTCTGAAGTTGTGCTAGATCTCAATAATTTCGAGTCATTCATGCCGTCTTTTAGTGGTCCTGGGACTCCGACTAGCGCTAGAAAGTCTGAATGGGATCCATTTGACAATATTGACAGGGTCTATACTTAATGTCTACCAGTTTGGCTCTACATGAACATTGGGCAGCATGATAACGTACGGTACGCTGTTGAATTTATACCGGGGCCATTTGATATCGACATGTAGCCAGCACTCTCATGGAGTATTCTCGTAGTACGCTCAAGCCCAAGACTGTACACTTGATTTCGATGCAAATGATGTCTGTGATTGCTGTGTATGCTACAATGAGGGGTATTTAAACAAAACTAGGAATGATAGAACGAATACGACTTGTAGAATGAAGACAGGGGTGGTAGTGAGTGATATACTCAAAAAGTCAGGTTCATATGCAAGAATTAAAATCTACCAACGCAAAGACATCTATTCATCATCATCATCGCAAGGATATTCCTCTTCTTCTTCAGCCTGCTCTTCCCGTTGCTGATCAGCCTCAATTTCCGCGCGTGTTCGACGTCTGATCCGAGATAAGACAAAGTCTAGGGAGGAGAAATTAGCGGCATTATTGGCGTATCTATCGTGTTTCTTCGTTTTTACGTGCTAGAAGCAAAATGAGTGCATGTCATGAAAGCCATACGCATCCACGTACGACTTTGAAATCGTCGAACTTTACTCGACATGATTCGCAGTATCCTGGTTTACTGCCTTCCTCCCGCTTTGGTAGGCGTAGACTATTGGTACTTCGGCTCTTCCTGAGCCCGCTTCTGGTGGGAATATAAGTAGGAGGACCCATTGTGCTTTTACCATCACCATCTTTGGCAATCGAAGCCAACCTCCGAGATGTAGTCACCTCGTTACCTATTTGTGCACGTAAAGACGGGGGAAGAGGACGGGAATGCGAGTAGTCAGTGGTTGAGGTTGTGCCGGTGGTAGATGTGATGCTGACACTATTCCCTGAAGCTGCAACATAGGCACCAGATCCCAGATATCCCGATGCATTTGCTGAGTCAATATTGTCGTCGCCTAAGGCCTCTCCGACCTCTTGTTCATCAAGTATTCCTCTCCGATGTAAATTATTCATTGACGCGGACCGCCGAAGATCACCGGGACCTTTGCTATGAACTTGAGCACGAGCTTTCCGTTTCATCGCCTCCAGGCGCAATAACTTTTTCTTCTGTTCCCGAGCCTGATAAGTATCGAGTGAGACACAATTGGTGGTTTTCCGTACTAACATACCTGCTCATCCTTCTGCTCCATCTCTTCCTTCTTATTTCTCTCCCAACGTCGCCTCTCCCGATCATCAAAGGGAATGAAAGGCCCTCTTGCGTGAGGATGACAGTGGGCAACCGGCCAAGACCCTTTTATACTCGAGTCACGTCCCTTGCTTACTTCGTACTCATGGGCAGCAATAGTAGCTAATTCTTGCTGCATATCTTCAACGAGGACCCAGTAACTGCCGCGGCTAAAGTAGGTAAAGTCATGTCGTTTCTGGGTGGGATCACGCTCTGTAGAGCCGTGGACACGTTCCGACTGCAATAGACGTGCAAGAGAGCGATAAGGTTGAACAGCATTCATAGGTTGTGCAGCATTTGTTGCCCGGGAAGGGTTTGAGCCCGTTAGCATGGGGACCTCGAGGCATCGCGAGAGAACACTATCGAGTTTGGCTGTGCTCCATGTTTTCATCTTCCACTCCACGGCCTTGGTGATAAGACCATACATAGCACCATCATCTCCGACGACGCTATCAAACAGTGAGTGGCGAGCAACAAATAATGCTGATACGACGCACCGAGTCCGCGATTTACTTGGACTCTTAATGGTCGAGTTCGTCTTCGAAATACTGCTTTTCGGATTGTTTTCCTTGTCGGCATCGTCATCTCCATCTCCTTTCTGATTGGTAATGAGGTGGGTCACATCCTTGGAGAAAAAGTCTTCGATAACCTAAGGTTCCCGTATTTGAGTACGCAGAAACGCATAAAGGCGAATATTTACCCCGCCAAGCTGTACAATACGGGCCTCAAGGCTCTTCCGAAGACCGGTATCGGGTTCCAGATGGCTCAGATCGAAATGAAAGGTGAAGGTGGGAAATGCGCGTGAGTATTTGTCCTTGAACTCCTTATCCTTCTGAGCACGCTCGGTATGTCTGCGCTCCTTGTCCTTGTACTTTGGTGCTGAAGTATCAGGACCCGCGGCGCGTTGGCGTTTGAATTCCACGGTAGCGTCGATTTCAGGAGAGCGAGGTCGCTTGATACCAGAGGCTGTTCGTGCCCATTTCTGTCCCAAAGACCTAGAAGTGGCACGGTTGACGAGAGGAGGACGACTACCGACGGTCGTCGACATGGAGGCAGAAGACAAAGCTAGAGTCGCGACGAAAAAACGCGTAAACAAACAGGTCACCAATTGGGTCATGTGATCGGGTGATGTTACGCCGCTGTGACATTGGGAAACTGTCACGCCCTGCTCACCCGTATTATTCGTATTATTGCAGCCATGTCGACATACGGGACTACTCGACACCATCATTCACCGGCGGCGCAGGTATTCTCTGCGCGTGAACGGATCACAGACTATCACACAACTCTATTTCGAAGGCTCATCTGGGACGGGACTGTTCCTCTTGAAATTCGTGTCGATACCAAGGAACTACCCGCCAACTCGGATAGAGGCCTCGAGTCGTATTTTATCCAGGCTCCACGCGTCAGCTATCTGCCGCTCTTGATGCTAGAGATTCGTCGATTTTTCACCGACCTTGTTTTCGATGAAACGTCGGCAAAAGATCTCAAAGATGATGATTGGTGGTTTGACACACCAGATGGGACACTCCTCAAGTGGTCAGTTGCATTTCTAGCCATTGAATGTCGATTCATTATTTCCCAGGCATTGGCCCATTGGCCTCATATATGATAATTATACCATCTCTTCATCTGTAAAGAATCCGACATCTCTTCCATCTTCAACGGTGACCCCGTTGCGTTTGATGCTACATCTTGCCTCTCCTCCTCAGGATAAGCTACTTTTGTCGCCCAGTGCAGAAGCATGCAAGCAGGCCTTTATGGGCCAATTAAAGGAGGCCGACTTCATTCGATGGGGAAATACCAAACGAATTACGGGACTTAGAAAACAGGATCAGGATGGCATCTGGGAAGGGATCAAAGAACGTACGTGCCGTCTGTCCATCCATCCGTTTCTTGTCTTTCTATGGCATGTGTTCAGATAATTTTGATGACTATTGGCGTGTTGCATCGAAAGTGACCCCAACCTCAGCACCCAATCGTACGCAGTCACCAGGGCCGCCACCATCGTCAGCATCGATGCATGCTCGTCCTCCATCTGCAGAACCTTCGGGTTCATCCGACCGTGAAGGCGCGTACAACGTGAGAAGTGTGCCTGTTAGGCTGTATCTTCCTGATGGACCTGTTATACAAGACCTTGCACCTCCTCTTCTGGAAGACAGGTGAGTCCTCTGCCTCATTTATTGAACAAGCACTGACTGTAATAATCCAGGTACCCCCCATACTTTGTCCCATTATCTGTCAATACATGTGCCCTTGCTTTTCCCTCCACGACCGCCTGCACCTCCGCCCTCACGGACGAATCCTAATCCTCAGCCGCCTCCTCTACTGCAATTGGCATACGTGTTAATTCAGGGTGTAGTCACTCCCCTTGAATCCGAAATGGCGTGGCTTGGTGCCTGCATGGCCGGTGCTGATGGCTGGGTGAACGTATGTGTCGGTATTAATAATGGATAATTGTAAAAATATAGTATACATATACCCAGATATCCTAATTCACAGCAAGGTAAAGTTACACATCAAACTTGACAACCTGCTCACCACCACCTCTATCAATCTTCACCAGCCTCTTGGCTACACAACCGTAAAGCACTCGAGTGGTTCCTTGTCCAGCAACTAAAACTGCACTGCCTCCGGTACTCGCCTTGGCGGCCAGTGATTCTTTCACCTTGTTAAGAGGCATGGAAAATTTGGGTGGGCACGATAAGAGTGTCACTAGTAAATGAGCGGTAAGAATTTGGTGAGGAGTTGGCTGTGATGGTACTGCATCAGCAGACAAGAGACTTGACTGAGGAGATGAAGGCGTCGGAACTAACGCGGATATGGATTGAAGATGGGCGCTAACCAATTGCAACGTTAGTAAGCTCGTCGTATTTCACTGGGTATACACACATTGTTTGTTTTGCTCTGGGAGGTTTTGAACCATCTCCTGTGGTTCTGTAGGGATGACCAGGCATAATTACATCACCCATTGTGGCCCATATCTTTGCCTGTGGATGGTTAGGACGCATAAAAGTACCGAAGGGTGACAGCATTACCACTATTCTCTCTACCTCTGTGTTGATGCGCAGTCTAGCCTTGGTCCCTGGCGTTTCAGGCTCAGCAACCTTTGCTGGTGGTACATCAGCTGCCAAAGGTTCGGAGGAACTACCAGCAGGTGTTGCTGCGGATTCGACTTGCATGGTTTCATCGATTGCACCTTCCACAATAGGCGGTTCATCTCGCGATTCGTATGTATCTTGCGGTTCCTCGACAATTTCCGGGGCTACTTCAACCAAGGGTTGTGATGCCGAACGTCTACGAGTAGAAGACGAAGGGGCCGAAGGACTTGGTATGGACACAACTGACAGGTCCCCAATATCGACTTGTTCGTGCAGCAGATTTTCGGAGGCAAAAGCACGTCCAGGTGTTGCCCAAAATGATTCCTCTTCTGCATCCACATGAGAGGGAGCGACGGGAGTTACTGGACGAGGTGGCGCGCTTTTTACACTCGCAATTGTTGTACGTGAGGTGCGCTTCGCTTGAGTCATGAGTAAATCCCTCTGTAATATATTTAAAAAGTAATTGTTGGAAATAAATGAAGGGCGTACGCGTTTCCTGAGCGCGTTAACTTTCTTTTCATAATGATGCAATGTCTGTTCCTCGTTATCAATCATAGACTTTATTGACGGGCCATCTGTAACTTGATTCTAGATTTCGTTGGCTATATACGTTGGATCCAAAGGCATTCGGCCGACTCACGGAATGAAGTAGCTCTGTAGTTTCTTCTATGCCATCGCGCACCAACTGTATTTCTTCGAGAAGAGCAACAACCTGAGAATATGCACGGGGCATTGGTCTGATACTCTGGCTACTCGATGTAAACAGAGGGGCACAGAACCCAAAAAGAAATACGACGTACTACCGGTCGATGTATTTGAGGGCGGCATGAGCATATATCTCGGGGTCTACTTCGCGTCGCGTCGCCGGCTTTAGTGGCGTCGCACCTGGAAACGCCGACCGAGCCAACGTGGGTATATCTCCCCGAGAATCCTGTTCAGAGTGAGGGACAACGAGTGAAAACAAGCCAAGTTCGGATGGATCTACATCGCGAATCAAATCGCCCAGCTGAGTGTCGAGGACGGCGGTGGAGAAGGGGGCGACGTCGAGAGAGACGGTGACGGCGGCGGCGGTAGCGGCGATGGCCTTGCTCGTTCTCGAGAGACGGTCGATTTGGTCTGAGAGAGAGGCCATGGGACACGGAAGAATAGAGGTAGCAGGGAGGACAAATACGTACATACCGTATCAGTGCAGATTGATCCCGTCCGACTTTGGTACTACACATATAAGTACTCTCTTCGTTGATCCAGCTATCTTTTTCTCTTCTCTTCTTGCCTCTCCGCTTACCTCTTCTCAAGTGAGTCGTCGTCGTCGTCGCCGTCGGCGTCACACATGTGGGAACCTCTACCCTTGATCGTCTACGGCTATGCGGTACATCCTCTTAGTCCCTCACGTCGCGACCACACGATGGTCCAGTCGAAATCGCGACCGTCTCTCTGTCGTTACCGAGGCTTCTACCGACGACCAGCTCGTCTACCGTGATGTTGTCGCATTGGAAGTAGGAGACGAAGTTTACGCTTTTGAGAAGTATATTCCCAAAGGGAGAGAGGTCGAGGGTACTTGGTATAGAGGGTATGTCTCCTGCTGCCTCTTCTAATACAGACAACTAAAAATCTCCTAGGTATGTTGTCTGTACGACTCGTAGACCACCCGTAACATGGGCCGTGTCTGGCGACTCCTCACTGGCCAAGTTACCCCCCAAATCCGAAGAACCACAACAGGTCTTCATTGGCATCTTTCCTGCCTCCCATATATTCCTTCGTGATGAGCTTTCTGATGCAGAGGGTCGACTCCATAACTATGCCACCTCAGTAAATGGTTCGACCATTAGCAATGGTATCGATCAGTTTAAGCAAGCTTCAAGCTCGACCGAAACCTTTTCCCAATGGGGCAAGGACAAGGGAGGATCCAGTATGCATACTTTGAGGGAGGAAGATGAAGATTTTGACCGTCTTACTACAGCCAGTAGACGCTCCTTCAGGCTTGGTCCACCTCCTGAGCAAGCATTCTCTTTGCGCGCTGGTCTACCGGTTTATTCCAACAGTCTTCGCTCCTCGTCGCCTGCAGATTCCCAATTAATGAAGCCACTTCCTCCCCGTCCATCTCTCAAATCTGGAGACGACACTGCGTCAGGTGCCGCTCAGCCAATTATCGACGAAATTGCTTCGGCCCTTCGCGAATGGCACACCCTGATGTTCCAGTATCTTGCCCGGAGAGACTACAAGTTATTTCACGTAGTTAAAGGCCATATTGAGGCGCTCCATCTTGGGCGACTGCAACTTCTGGCCGAAACGTTAAGCGCTGAAGAAACAGTCAACATGCGGCGTGACTGTGTTACCAGACTGGTCAGCGGTAACCTTGTGCAGGGATTAGATGTCATTGTGCGACATCCGTCATGGGGAGGCCTGGTTACGGTCGACGTCGAAGGTGATGTAGATGAAAGAAGTTGGGTTAGCGCCGTTCGAATGTTCACAATGCAGACCTCCCTTGCATACCTCAACATCTCACTTGATGAATCCCTGTCGCCGCGTCCTTATCCTGTCGGTGCAAGTACGGATTACCTGGCCTCGGCACCATTGCCCACCCCAGCTCACTCAGCATTTTCTGATTCCACCTATCCCCGCAATCAAACTCGTATTCGCCCTTGGGGTTATTTGAGTCTACCTGCCGATTCAGGCCCCGATACAGCCAAGTTCTATCATGTCTACCTAGACCTGAGAGCATTTGTTGCCTCTCCGTGTGCCCCAGGTGAAACAGCGGAACTATTCTTCTCCCTCTATCGGCATAAAGGGAATCAGTTCATCACCGAAGATTTTTGTGTCATCCTCAACCACAATGGGGTTTCCGCTCGCAATCCGTCTGACCACATACGCACTTTGTTCGTCGATTTGGCGCATTCCGACATCCAGGATCCAACATATCTTGTGTGCCGTATTGTCCGAAATGGCTCTTTGAAGATAGGAAATGGATCGAACTCAGCTACACCTTTAGAAGGGAGGCGAGGGTCAGAAGCGTCGGTCAGAGCGGATGCTGGCACTTCGGCGGGATGGATTGATAGCAACGGTACACAACCACGTACTTCAACAGATATTTCAGGCCAATTTCGACGACCGTTCGGCTGCGCTATACTGGAGCTAACGCAACTGGGTCGGATAACTGCTGAAGGAGGTAATGTAACTGCCATGAAGGAGTACAGCATGCCGATCTATGTGCCCACGAATGAGGTTGCGTTTTCCATGATACATCAAAATATCATCGACAACGCAGCCAAAGAATTTGAAAAATCTCCTCGGTATGCTACCCTCTTTCTTGGCCAAAGTGAAAACGCTGAATATCTTAAATAGGGCCGAAATGTTGGCGGTCTCAGTCAAAGTGTTTCGTGGAGATGCTGTCACTATCGTGAAAGAAAACACTTCTCTTCTGCAAGATATTCCTCAAACCCTTCGCCTTGGTTTCCCTGATGTCGTGTTTCCTGGCGACGTTCGAAATGAACTCTATGTCAAGTTATGGTCTGGGGATTTCCTGTCAACGAACGGGACTCCTGGACGGATCAGTGTATCGAGCTTCACGCGTGGTCCTTTGAATTCGACTTCCAGTAACGTTCAGGTCACAGTCGAAGTCAGGGACCAAGATGGCAGAACTGTAGAATCAGTTATATCTCAAGGAAGTGGGGAGCCTCTTATGACACAGTTCCATTCTATGGTTTTTTCAGCGATGCAGCGAACCAACATTTGGAGAGCTCATCAAAATCCGATTGCCTCTTAGCGGAATACCGCAGTGGCACCTCTTTTTTACTTTCAGGAACCGTTCAGGCCGCGAAAGAGGAAATCGGGGGACGCCCGAGTCAGATCGGCCATTTGCATTTGCCTTCCAACAGCTTTTCCCTGATACCCGCGCATTTGTTGAAGACGGGAGTCACAGGCTGATCATGTATAAAGGAGACAGGCTTGGAACGCTCAGCCCCGACATATATCTGAATGCACCTTCATCCTTACTTGGTGGTCAGAAATTGGATCAGCTCGTTCCACCAGAGATGCTCCGCGTTGCCCCTTCGACGAGGGACACACTAACCGTTCGCACGTCCTTATGCTCTACCAAATTCACCCAGAACCCAGTTCTATTAAGCCTTCTCAACTGGGAAAAGGTCGCGGACCAGGAATTTCTATCGACAGTCCTCACCAAGTTCACATTTGTTGGAGAAGGCGAAATCGTCAAATTCCTTCCCGACATCTTCGACTCTTTATTTGGTATCATGGTCTCTCCCAATAATCAGGCTTGCGAAATGGATTTTCTGGTCTTCAATGCGTTGGTCACCGTTTTAGGCATTATACAAGATCGACGGTTCAGCAATTTCCAGCCGGTGTTGGACGTTTACATAGAAAAACATTTCAACTGCGCATCGGCCTCATCGCATATGATCCAGTCCATGAATCGTCTACTCACCAATCCTACGTCCACAGAAACCGCATCTCCACTTCGAGCAGCGCTGAAGGTTTGGCATTATGTCATGAAATTCATAGCCAAGTCAAGAGAGCTGCAGAAAGCAAAGGAACTTGGTGTCGGAGGTGGAGTGACTGCAGAACATCTCGAAGGCACTTTTAAACGTGAACTTCGGTCCCACTTGACGGAGGTCACCCGTTTAATGTCGACATCTTCGCCCCTGTCAATCGTTGGAACCCAAACAATTGCATTGCAGCACTTCACTTCGATCCTCCCGGAACTGGCTAAGATATTTTCAGTCGTTGATTTAGTGTCCATTGTGACGACCTTTGCCACAAATGCGGCCACTGCAGCAAGGGGCAAGATAGTCATTTGGAAGCTTATTATGTACCTTCAGATCGTGAAAGGGTTCCTTTTTGACAACCCGCAGTCTCGACCGCTACTTGTGGAGGCTGTCGTACAGTGGATCAGGCCTCACTTTGGTCGATATGATGAATATGCTCAAACACAGGGCGCGGATTCAGAGGGCGCTCGTGATGCTGCGCGGGTGGCTTGGTTGGAAAACATACGGTTATGTGTCGCGATTATTGCTGTCATGTTGGACAAGCTCCAGACAAGCCTGGTGTGTCCATCGGTTATCGAAGATCGACCCAGGTTCCGCACGGAGCAGGAGAATGTGGAAAATCTCCTTCCCCTTCTACCAAGGTTCGCCTTCCTCTGGCCACTCTACAAGCCTCTCAATAATTTGATAGGTTACTGGACTCTTACCGAGAATTTCAAAGTTCAGAGGCGGTCAAAGCTTTGGAACGCACTCGATCGCCAAAAACGGCCATTCCTGTCATCTTCCCAGAGTCCTACCCATTCTCGTTACTATCCTACCTACCAAGCTCGTCCCAGAGCTCTGTGAGGGCGGGAGAATCTGATGAAGTCTTCAATGCTGGTCTAGGCGAGACAGCCGTTGTCTTTCTAGTGCTTGTTTTGTCATCGCCCTCGAAGCATATTCTTGACTTTTAGAGTCGAGTCTTGACATTGAAGGACAGGAACGCTTTATCGCATTGATGTCTCAATTTTTCAAGGTGGCAACCTCGATTCTAGGAAATGACGCATTCCCGAAGTCTTGGTTGAACGTCAATATCATGGCGCACAAGGTTCTGGTTAAAATGATGGTTCCTATATCCACCATCCTGGAGAAAGAGTTTATCCCACCTCAGGATTCAGAAGCTCGATTTGATGCTCGCCTATGGCGCGAGGCTTTTTTCATGCTTCTGAAGCTGCTGTCTTCCGATCAATTGGTCATCGAAGACTTCAGCCCTCAGGCAAGTTGACCTCCTCCCCTTGCTGAAATCTTCATTGTTGATGGGTTGTACAGAAACGGCGTGCTGTATGGCGATTAGCCGGCGATATCCGAGGTGAAGGAGCATCTATCATGCTATCGCTTTGGCAAGCGTTAGGCTGGGCAGAGCAACTTACTAATACCGGCGAACCTGTTGCCCGTTACGGGGTATGCTCTCTCCACCGTGACTGTCCTGTGAACTGAATTCTTGACAGGGATATCAAGTATATCTCAACGCTCTTGTTGGTCATGTTGTCAACCTCTGTCTGAGCCACCATGAACAACTTAGGAACAATGCCGTTCACATGCTATACTGTATGATTGTTTCAGAGTACCACCAGGCAGGCAATTTCGATGAAATCGAAAACGAACTTGTAACACGCCTGGATTCTTTATTCATGTCCGATAGCAAAGGCGATGACATTTCTGGTGCTTTCTTCGTCACACAACTCAGACACCTGTTCGAAACCTCGGATGTCGATGAAAGTTTGCGGGAGCGGATTTCGACATTTTTGGATTCCGTGGATCTCTTCCTAGAACTGCTATTAAGCCTTCGTGCACTTCCAGAAGGAGAAGAATTCGCAGACGAACGCGTCATTGCCACTGTGAGTCGATTTCTCATGCGCGCCGACTTTTACTAAAGGTCCGAAGCTGCGATTGATGAACTTCATTCGACGAATCGGGAGGGATGAAATTTATATCAAATACGTGCATCAACTTGTCAACGTAAGTTGCTATGCTTTTCAGTCAGACTCTGTAACACCACCAACTATCTTTAGATGCATCTACAATCCCAAAATTATGTTGAAGCCGCATTAACATTGAAGTTGCACTCCGACCTCCATCAATGGGACCTGAATACTTTGTCAAAGCCATGGATGACTTGGGCCTTCCGCAACAGTCTCAGTTCCACCGTAAGGAGACGCTTTGCTTGCTGATTTTAGATTATTTGGGTAAGATTGGATTTGCTTGTGTGTTCATTATTCTCAATGTTGCGGCTATCAGGCAAAGGGAAAGCTTGGGAACGGGCTGTTGAAATCTGCAAGGAGCTTGCTTACCAGCATGCCGAGGTCACATATAACTAGTACGTGTCCAACGTGCTCGACACCTTCTTTGCCTGCTTACATGTGTCTCTGTGTCTCGCAGTGGTCGTCTATCCGAAATTCTTCGTCACCAAGCGACGCTCCTGGAACACATTGTCACAGAGCAGCGATACTATTCTGATTATTATCTGGTGACATTTTATGGCAATTTTCCTGCGGCAATCCGGGACAAACGTTTTATTGTGAGTAGCTGCAATAATTGATGAAGCTGGTTGCTCATTTCAATGTTAGTATCGCGGATACGAATGGGAGAAATATGGCGCATTTTGCGAGCGGATGCTCAACAAGCATTCGGGAGCACAGCTACTTAAAATCATTGGCGACCCTCCGGTTGACATCCGTTTTGGCACGGATCAGTATATCCAGTGTACATCGGTAACTCCAGAACCTGATCGAACTCTGCCCGTCTTCACAAATCCTGATGTGCCAACCGCAGTCCGCGTGTACTACGAACACAGTGCGATCAACCTCTTCAGCTCTTCACGGCAAGTCAAGAAGCTTGGGCGCGACGGATCAGACGAAATTTGGGTAGAAAAGACCTACTTCACAACAGAGGAGACCTTCCCAACCGTTCTACGCCGTTCCCAGGTCATCGAATTGGAGGTTGTTGAACTCTCCCCTGTCGAGAACGCCTTGACTGAAGTGGAGACCAAGACCAAGGACCTTGCGGCTCTCAGTATCCGTTATCAATCCCTTGCTAAGACCGCTCAGCAGGTATCGACCAACGCGTTATCAATGGCACTTAATAGTGCAGTCGATGCACCCATGAACACAGGTGTTGCATCATACCGTCAGACGTTCTTCAACAGCGAATATGTTACTCGCAATCCTGATCGAGCGGAGATGGTCGAACGGCTAAGAGTCGCTATAGATGAGCAGGTATGCGCTACGCTAGCTATTCCATTTTCTTTAGCTCAATTTGTTACCAGGTTCGCACAATTGACGCATGCCTCAAACTCCATGGTCATCTCTGTCCCGTCGAATTCCATCCATTCCACGAAACACTGGAGAAGTTTTTCAGGAAAAACTTCAGGGAAGAAATTCGACGATTAGTAATCGATGAAACAAGTACACTTCCTGCCACTTCTGTGTACGAGCAATCCGTCATTAGATCCATGTCTTCAACTTCGACAAAACGTGCACCAATCATCCCTCCGATTTCACTGTCTTTCAAACGCAAGACGGCATCGCCCCCACCTGCCTCGCCAATAGATGGAATACCAGGTGTTCCGCGACAGACACCGCTTCAACGGCACCTTGCACATTTGGCACGACACGGGATCAATGGGGTGGCCTCGTCGCCGGGGGACATGGGCGCGGGCATGGCGGGCGGAAGCGACTCAGTAAGTGTCGAATCGCCCGATACGTCGCTTGTCAACGTCAACAGCGGCGCTGCGGAGCCCTCGGGGTCGTCGGTAATGACGTCCCTTGGCTCCTTGGGTTCGCTCAAGGGTCGCTTTTCGCGCTTCGGGAGTCTCAGCTTTAGTAGGCGTGGTGCTTCCCATTCATAGTTATTTTTTTTTTTGCGGATCTCTTCAATTTTTTGTAAAGTAGTCCATGTAATGTGTGCAGTTGTTCATTATATTATATGTAAGTTCTGTGTCATATGCGAGGCCAGATAACGGGCCTCCTGGGTGCCGATGAAAGCTGCTGGTTTCTTCGGCCGCCTTGGATTTCGGTTTACAGATGCATCATTACAGCAGCTAATTTGGCTGAGAATCTGAGCTGGAACCTGTGCGATTTGTTGTTCGCATAAAGGGGGAGAAGGTACTTCGAAAGAGAATTCTGCGTCTGCCAAATGATAAATCTGTTGCAGCGCGTCAATCAAAGCGTCTGCTCCTTTGCGACCCTCCTGTTCTGGAAAGTGTAATTCAGGAAACAGTCGTCCATTAAATAGAACGAGCCCTTGTTTTTACTTCCTAGCTCTGAAGATTTCCTTTACCCTGCCCGCAATATATCTAATGGATGTTGCCGTGACCAGGAACCGCAACCTCAGGGACAATATCATGACAAATGGGTAAAGGAACTCGGACGCGTGTCACCGATTTCGAGCTGTCAAATTCCTGATCTACCCTACCGCCGGCCCCTTCTCCTCTTATGTAATTACAACTATCACATTGTTGAATCTGTCGCACCAGATGATAGGCTGTGGCTTAGCCTGTCGCGGCTACAAAATGCTGCACCGCCTTCATGCATCGCAAGCTGAGTTCAAACTCCCCCCCAGCTGAAAGTGTGTCAATCCATTGACTAAAATGTGGTTACCGTACAGTTGATGTCGAAGAGATAATGATGTGATGATATGTGATGTGCTATAAATGTACAGAATAGGTAATTTGTCCGTCTTGTCTTGTAGAGATGGGCCTCCGAATGTACAAATACAAATCCAACCAGAACAAACGTAGCGATAGGAACTGAGAGATGAAAAAAAAAATAGTACAAACTGATACAATATGGGATGCTTAGGACTGGTTTGGCCAGTAGAACTCCAACGGTGTCTCCATCGGATATGCTGTTAAACTATGCAAATCGTTCAACGCAAGCCCCGCTGGGTGCTGCTCTGGCCCTGGCCAGGAAGTATTGTAGTCGTACACTGGCTCGGCCGGGGTGACGCAACCCGAACTATCGTGCGAAGCAGAGAAGAGGATAGTGTCAGGAAGTGGCTCGTATTTATCAGGAATGGGAAGTGGGTCGTGATAAAGTCGGCTATCGACGGATGGAGGGTCTGCGGGAAGGGAGGCGGTTGAATCGGTGGGGGAATCAGAAGTGTAGATAGACTGTACCAGTCCTCAGAATTCAAAGAAAGACGACGTGAGGGAATAGCTTACATATTTGGACAGGATTTTGTCGAGCGCCTGTCCAAGGAGCGACCACTCAAACACTTTGAGGTCTTTCTCGATATTCCGGGGCTTGGGATCGGGGAACTCCATGATGCGCTGAAAGAAACTCTCGAAACCGTGCTTATGTTTGCTGACGGTCGTCGGCCTCAACCCCTCCAAGTTGCGCCTTATACGGTTCTTCTCCTCAACGGGAAAGTCGTCGTTGGTGAGCCTCTCGAGCAGATAAATGATATCTACGCTGGTGACATAGAATAGGCTGGTCTCATCCCTGAAAATACAGGAAATGACGGTGTCTGTCTCGCAGTAGTCATCCTGGCGGATAGCTTCGCAGGAAACGATGAGTTTACAGCCATCCTGGACCTTGTGAAAACGGACAAGTCGACGACCCATACGATTTTCGGCAGCATCCCAACCGGTGCACATGGTATCGAGAGGGGTGATGATCTGGAGGATGGGTGTCTGAGGATGGAGATGAATATCCTCTGGAGAACCACGGTTGGCACGCATAAGAGAGTTTGCGCGAATGCGGCGTGATGCTGGTCTGCGGTCAGAGAGAGTAGGAGAAGGGACTGATGGCACGTTATGTATGCTGGTCGTTGTGTTGGCTCGTCGGCGAAGCACAGGCCCCTGGGAAGGGACTACTGGCTGCGAGGCTACCATAGACGCCTGAGAAGCTACAACTGGCGGATTCGGTATCGGTAGATGGTGTTCCCAGTAGGTAAACTCGCCAAAGCAGACAGCATCGAGAATGATGTTGTCAGCGTCAACTGCCTCAACACTAAGGGCGACCTTCTGGTCATGTATTCTGGGCGGGATCGTGGCATGAAGCTGGTAACCGCCGAATTTTTCTGGCGATATCTGGGAGACTTGAGTGCTGACCGCTGTCGAGCCAACTTTTAGACGTAGGAATATTTTTTCCGGGGCAGGGTGGTGGAAGTCAATGTGGACAGAAATGGGCACGCCGACCTCGCCTTCGGAGGGATGATAGCTGAGGACGGTGATGAGACCGGCAGAAGAGACGATAACCGACGTTGGGCGGGACATGGTGGTCGGGAAGAAAGAGAGGCGGGCACTGGCAGGAGCGATGCCAGCCAAAGCCCTCCCATTCTTTAAAGTCGGTACAGAATAGGGGTATTGACGCTTGTTTATTTCCATTTCCGGTCTATTTGTCGTCTCGTGCTAGCGTCGATCACCGATCGCTATTGCAGGTGCCAGGAGTCCAAGACCAATTATGGAATGCTTTTGTGCTCAAAATGTTCCATTTATATTTGCCCGATATATTCGCATTGTCTACATTTTTCGGATATTTAATGTCCATGACAAGTAAGATGTCGGTATTCCCAGCGCCCGTCGCCCCAAATTAGGCTCACCGGCGGCACGTGACCCTCTCCCGACAAGACCCGCCCGCACACAGCGCAGCGGGCAACAAATAGTCCCCCGTAAGCCTCCAACGCGGACACTACCTCCGCCACCCCCGCTCCTCCGGCCCGGGCCGCCATCCCGCTCACCCGTTCAGTCACTAGTCGGAACACGTCGAATGCAGACGAGGCGTGTGGCGCCCGTTTTTCCCGTGGCCCAAAGACAGTTACGGCCTCGACGCTCAGTTCATCGCGTCGGCTAATGCCCAGGAAAAGATATGCCTGAAGCACGTCGGGAATCACGACGCGCACAATATCATCGCCAGTGTCGCCACGTCTCGCGCGCCAGAGATGCACTTTGCCACTGTGGTCGCGATTCCAAGTCCGTATCCAAGCTTTGAGTTCTTCGATCGTGTTAATGACAGTTCCCTCTGGGAAAATGCTCTTCTTTGTCTTCTTTTCGGCGACATATGGCTGCGGTGACCTCGACCTAGACCGGATTAATTAAGAGTATCTGCACGGCAACGTGCTGCTAACCTTCGTTTAACGCTGCCTCGCGTCACATCGACCCCAGATCCATCTTTCTTTTCACTCGATGCCGCGTGTTCTAGCGCTTGTTGTACCTGGCTACTCTCCACGGCTTCCTTGGCCTTTTGCACCTCCTCCAGCTTTGCTTGCAGCCGTACTTCCTTCTTCGCGTTCACATTCAACAAATCATGAGGAACCTTTCGCAGCCTGCCCACATGTGCCTGCAGTTCCTTGAGCGCCGAGATCTCTTTCTGAAGCTCATCGACGTTGGAAGTCATGTCTAGCCATACACGCACAAATAACGCGATACGTTCACATTGTCACATCCAGGCAATGTCCGAACAAACCTTTGGATTGATAAAGCTTGACAGTTCGCCATCACCACCAGTCTCTTTAGCCGATTCTTTTGTTACTAGCTCGACATCGACAGCTCATCTTTCAAATTTCAGAGCGACCGCAAGGCAGAAAAGCACCCGAATTAGAGTTGCTTTGTTCAAAATTGTTATTGGAGTACAGGATATGCCAGAGCTTCCGCTAACCATGTCCCTGACGACGCTATCCAATTCTAGTTGGGCAATGTATCTCTGCGTGCGGTGGAGGATTTTACGGAGGATACCGTTTTCTCCGATCTCCGACAATGCATCACTTCCGCGCAACATATTCCTTGAAATTCCAGGTTCCCGCATCCGCACGGCCAGCAAAAGAAGCTCATCATCGACCATTGGCATGGGATATCTGCGCAGTATATGTTTCAGAACGTCAGTCCGACGACTTGGCTATGACCGTGACGGCTTTGCCCAATACGTTTGGTATAATTTTACAGGCAATAATATGATCATTTACTCAACTCGTCCAATATAATTGATATCCCCAATGGGCGTTCACCGATCCATGGCCCATGCCAGGCTTGAACAAAGCAAGGCGAATTTTCAATTTTCACCAGTCCGATCGGACAGGCTGGACTGCCACCAGAAATTCCACCAAGAGAGTCGATCTAGAGACTGTCGGAGGAAGATCACAGAATGGTTTCATGAAGGCGGACCCCGCTCATGATTTTTCTTTTCGGCCAGAGGCATACCGTGCATGTCAGACACAAAACCTTGCTGCTCATCCGAATCGCGCCCATCTACGATTTAAATAATTGACGGATCATTTATGGACCAAAGGAGCGAACAATGCAAGGTGGCTCAAGATTGAGATCGTAAAGAGGACAAGAAGAAACACTAAAAATGTCAAGATGACAATAAAATACTGGGGTCCCGGTCAAAGTTCTGTCATGCTTGGATTTCATCCAGGCGTTTGAACAATCTGTTCATTCGATCCTCCAAACCCTCGACATTTCCTTTTACAACTCCTCTATTTTCTTCCAGACTCTTCTCCACGCCCTCAAGGGCACCCTCAAGTTCAGCAAGACCCTCCTTTATCTGACGCTGTTCTTCCTCCAACCCCTTCAAGGTCGCTTCAAACTCACCAGCAGCGGCATGTAATCCAGACAATGTCCTCAGTCTGGCCAAAACGTGAGGAATCTGAGGAAGACTTGACCCCAGTCTATTCAAAAGGGGTAGCAACTGCTCAGCGGTAGACGTCGTTGCTGCGTTTGGCTGAGAACCCTGTCGTCGATGTGAATGAGCTGCAGTCCGGTCCAAGTCGGATAGAAGAAGTTTAAGTCGGCGCGAGATGGAATCAATATGTCTGGGCTGCGTTAAGAGCGTGAGTTGCGTATTGAGACGCGTAATGAGAGGGACCAGTGGAGGAGGCAACGGGCTGAGTTCATCGAGTGCAGTCGTCGACGAGCCGACGAGCTTTTCGAGCTGCCCGACCCTTTCGTCCATCTCGACGAGTCCAAGAGACGGCTGCTTTTCAGAGGCACCCTTCTCGTCAATGTCGGTATCCTTTTCTTGGTTTTCCTTGAAGCCATGGTCTTCGAGCATGACACCTACTAACCGCCCCCTTCCTTCCTTCCCCTTCCTGATATGTTCAAGTCGGTCCCGAACGTCAACGATACCACGTATGAGCTCTCCAGGATCCTTTTCCTTGCTCACTTGAGGATTTGTAGGATCGGCCATTTCAGCCTCCAACGCACCGAGCTCAATCTGTAGGGCTTGGAGCCTATGGCTCAGAGTCAGCTTCGCGGGTTCGTCGTCGTCTTCATACGTAGTTCGCAGTCGTTCTACCGCGTAGTGTTAACGTGCGATAATGAAGGAAATGTTGGTACATACCTCTCCTCTGTTCAGCCTTTCTGAACCTTGAGCTCGCGGCATCCATTGCAATCAGGCTGCTTGAATCCAGCTCCTCCCCGTTCCCAACCTCCCCGTGTTTACGCGGCCGTTCCCTTTCCTCGTCACTACCATCGCCTTTCTACAACGGTATCAGCTAGCAGTGACGCCGACGGGGTATGCACTAACATTCCCTTGTTCCAATGTGGGTACATCCTCCGTTTCGTACACATCGGGCGCTGTGTCCTATGTCAGATGAGCATTCGGGATAAAGCAGGAGGAAAAGGAACGAACGATATCTGGAAGATTCGCGTACTTAGCTGAGCTCATGATGGACAGAAACAAAATAGGTAATGCCGCTAACGGCGAACGCGTTGATAACCGAGGTATGTAACGGTAGAAACGTAAATCAAAAATTCGTCACCTTAGAGATTCGAACTCTAGCGGGCAAAGCCCAACCGCTTAGCAGGCGATCCCGTTAACCACTCCGGCAAAGTGACCACAGCAAGTTTATTGTCATATTATTACTATTATTAGTCTCTATTGCAATTCATCTTCACGGAAAATCGCAGTCTTGGACACACCGTCCTCCCTGATGACTCCGCGATACATGCCTTCGCAGTTTAGCGCCATTGCGACTATAGCAAAGAGTAATAAGGTTTTATAGATGGTGAGAGACAGGAGGACACGTACCATTGCCGTCGATATCCAAGGCAATGAGACCTCCTGTACCCCCATCCTTTAACAAATCTTCTACTGTATGCTGAGCAGCGCTATCTAGGTTCTCCCCCAGGAATTTGACTCTATGACACATCGTCGCCGCCGCCGCGTGCCTAATGAAGTACTTGAATGGTTTGATAATCAGAATACTGGGACCAAAGCACGAGTCTCGAACGTTGACTGACATCGCCATCACCTGTTCCCGATATTCCTACCGCTTGCGTTTCTTTGCCTCTCCATATTTTGTTCCACTTGCAGCATATCCATCCCTTTACGGGCCATTCCTCAGCCCAGAACCCAGACCCCATGTGTGGAGTATCGCCAATCCTTCCTGGGAGTTTATTGGTTCGACCACCGGTGGACGTAACGGCAGCAATGCATCCCCTGACATCCAGGGCAACAGCACCGACAGTACCCTTGGGATTCATACCCAGGGTGTCGTCATCTCCACCTATTTCAACCCCGGATGGGAGTGTTAGCGACTGATTATACAAACAAGATCAAACAACTGAGCATGACTCACACTTCGGTCAGGCGCTCTATGTTGTCTGCAGGTTTGCGTGCAGGGAGCTATCGCTTAGCAATTCGAGAGTGAGTTCAGACTAAGTTATCGGGTGAATAAACTTTAGTTCGAGACTGAGGTTTAAGACCTGCAGTCGAGCTACTTAAATACAGTTTGAGTCGTTCTAAGTATAGTACAAGAGTCTGTAGCGGTGCGGTAAACACACGATACCTGCATGGTGTAGTGCGATCAGAGTCGGAAAGTTGGCATAGCATGATTACGATGAGGTCGATAAGATAAGATAGAGCACGAAATCGTAATATTACCCCCCTGTTAAGGCAGTCGTCCCGACTGCAGCGTAGTTTGGTTTTGGTAGATAGGCGCCTACTAGAGTTTCTGGATTGGGCCTTATGAGGTATTCTTGTATGGCCTGTACTAGTGGGTGGTCGATCTCGGATTCCGTTACTGACTCTGTTTCTGACCATGAATCAGATTCGTCTCCATTTTCCCACCAGTCTTGAGGCAGTTGCGTGATGAAGTTTACTTGTTCGTAGTCTTCGATTGCCTCTTTGGCATTCTCCAGTTCTCGTTCGTCTACCCAAGAGTTTTCCTCCCAGGGATATCCTTTCCACTTGATGAGGTACTCCGTCCTGGTTCGTCGTCTACACCCTCGTCCTACTGCTCGTTCCCGACGGTCTACTATTTCCTCCACCTCGTACTGTTCTTGTCCATCTATTAGGTCTGGTGGAGGTGCCGGGGGCTGTATTTGGATTGGGAACTCTGGGGAGTGGTACAGTGTCAACAGGTTCTCGTTGAACCGGTTATGGATTTTCCATCCAAGGGGTAGTTCTAGCTCGTAGGCGGAGGCACCCTTTTTGGATACTACTTTGAAGGGTCCAACTCGCTTGTCTCCGAGCTTTTTCATGGGACGGGGAAGATGAAGGTTTGTTGAGTCCAACCAAACTTTGTCGCCTGGTTGGTACTCCACCGCCGGTCGTTGATGCTTATTGTAATGTCGTTTCATCATTTCCGCTGCTTTTTCCAAGGCTTTCGCTGTTTGTTCATGTATTTTTTGTATTTCTGTGACGAAGTCCTTGGCCGCCGGATTCGTTCCTTCCTTGATAGTGAGCGGTGCGAGATGAGGTTTTTGACCGTGGTTTATCTCGAATGGAGAGTAGCCGGTGGTGGAGTGTTTTCGATTGTTGTGTTGAAATGCTGCGAGGGGCAGCCATTCGCTCCAATCGTTCTGCCTATGATTGATGAAAATTCGGAGATACTTTTCAATTTCCTGATTTGCTCTCTCAGTCTGCCCATCGGTTTGGGGATGATATGCGGTGGAGGGGTTTCCTTGGATGTGCAACATCTTGTACAGTTCCTTCATGAATTTGGATACAAATTGTGGTCCTCGATCAGAGATGATCTTTTGCAGCATGCCATGTTTTGCCCAGACGTGGTCATGAAGTACTCGGGCCCACCCCGCGGAGGTTAGTTCGGTCGAGCAGGGGACCGGGATCACTTCTTTGGAGAAGCGGTCTACGATCACAAGGATAGCGTTGTATCCGTTGGAGTCCGGTAGCTCGCCGATCATATCCACTGTGATGTGCTCCCATGGTCGCGTTGGTACGGCGTGTGGGTGCAACGGTGCCCTTCGTCTTTGGGTGCTGGTCTTGGTGCGTTGACAGGCTTTGCAGCCTTTAACGTAACGTTCTACGTCGTTTTTGAGTTTTGGCCACCAGTATTCTCACTGCACGAGTTCTTTGGTTTTCTCGATTCCCGGATGACCGGCCGTAATGTGGTCGTGATGGATTGCTATTAGTTCCCCGTGTAGGTTGGCATCGCGTGGAATATACAGTCGTCCATCGTAGTACATTAACCCTTCCTTTTGGGTTATTCCTTGAGGATGATGAAGGGACATCTCTATCCCCTTGTCCAACCTAGTGACGTCTCGTAAAGCCGTCCTGATCTTCTTATGTATCTCCTCCTCGCCTGGCATGATTAGCACTCAGAACATTTCCGGTTTTAGCACTACCACTTCACTGTTGTCCTGGCTGCCTTGGTCGTGATCAGCTCGTCGAGACAGCAGGTCTGCCTTTTTGTTCGCCGTCCCCGGCTTATGATGTAGCGTGAAGTGGTATTCTGCTAGCTCAGTTACCCATCGCGCTTGTTGGCGATTGAGTTTCTGCGGTTTTCGAAAATATTGGAGGTTTTGGTGATCCGTCCAGATCTCAAACTCCTGATGAGCGCCCATCAGGTAATGCCTCCAGTCTTCGAGGGCCAACATGATGGCTAGAAGTTCCTTGTCGTATATCTCGTAGTTACGTTCCGTAACTGTTAGAGCTTTGGACAGGAACGCCACCGGTCTCCATTTTCCTTCTTGTTTCTGTGACAGCACCGCCCCTATTGCTCCTTCGCTGGCATCAGCTTCCACTCGGTACCTACCGGTACGGGTGGGTATGGCCAGTATTACTTCTTCTGCCAGCTTCCTTTTGATTTCCTTGAACGCATTTTCTTGGGCCGCTCCCCATACCCACTCTGTTTTCCCTGTGAGCTGGGTTAAGGGTCGTATGTGCTTGCTGTAGTTTTGGATGAATCGTCGATAGAAATTAGTGAACCCCAGGAATGATTGTAGCTCTCGTTTCTTGGTGGGCTGGGGCCACTCTGTGATTCCCTTCACTTTCACGGGGTCCATGCGAATTGATCCTTGACTGATGATTACTCCAAGGTACTCCGTTTCCAATACCTCAAATTCGCATTTCTCCGCTTTTAGGAAGAGATTGTTGGCACGGAGGATAGTCAATACCTCTTTGACGACGGTTCAGTGTCTTTCCTTGTCTTTGGTACAGATTAGAATGTCATCCAGGTATACGGTGACGTCTCCTCCAGCAATTTGCTCCTTGAATAGATCGTTCATCATCCATTGAAACGTAGCCGGGGAATTAGTGAGCCCAAAGAACATCACCATAGGCTCGAACAGTCCCCGGTTCGTTCGGAAAGCCGCCTTCCACTCATCTCCGCCTTTAATGCGCACATTATTATATCCCCATCTCACGTCTAGCTTCGTGAAATATTTCGCGTCTTGGAGTTGGTCCATCAGTTCTCTGATAAGGGGAAGCGGGTATCGATTTTTGATCGTTATTTCATTCAACTTTCGGTAATCCTGTACTGGTCGAAGCTTCCCATCTTTCTTTTTGACAAAGAAGAAGGGGGATGCCATTGGGGATTTGGAAGGTCGGATTCTTCCCGACTCCAGGTTTTCATCGAGGAATTTGTCCAACTCCTCCTGCTCTTCTGGATTAAGGGGGTAAACCTTACAATCTAGGCTTGCATTCGCATTAGGGACGAGCTCAATGGCATGATCCCATGGTTTTCGTGGCGGTAGCTCGTCAAAGTTTTCTTTTGCAAATATGTCCTGGAATTCCTGGTACGGTTCCGGTACTATTTCCTCGAACGTTTTTGCTTCTTTGGCTTGATTGGCTTTGGCGGCTAATTCGTTTGCCTTGCTCCCCATTGCTCGTACGTGTAGCACTTCTTCGAAGTCTATGATGAGAATGGTGTCCCCTTCTTCTACTTCTGTTCCCCACTGCTGCTCGGGGTCTTCGTCTGGTAGTGGGAATGGTATCTTGCGGCACGAGCATCGTACTAGGGATACGGCTCCTGTTTTCCAGTCAATGATCGGGTTATGCCGTTTGAGCCAGTCGTGGCCCAGGAACATTGGTACGTTTCCTAGGTCCACAACGGCGAGGTCTATCTTTTCGTGGTGATCCCCAATGGTCATTCGGAGTTCTACTACTTCTGTGATGTCCCCTCCTTTATTTCGGCTTCCATCCGCGTTGTAGACTGCCTGAGCCTTGTGTTAGCGACCGATTACACAAACAAGATCAAACAACTAAGCGTGACTTGCACTTCGGTCAGGCGCTTTATGTTGCTCGCAGGTTTGCATGCAGGGAGCTATCGCTTAGCAATTCAAGAGTGAGTTCAGACTAAGTTATCGGGTGAATAAACTTTAGTTCGAGACTGAGGTTTAAGACCTACAGTCGAGCTACTTAAATACAGTTTGAGTCATTCTAAGTATAGTACAAGAGTCTGTAACGGTGCGTTAAACACACGGTACCTGCATGGTGTAGTGCGATCAGAGTCGGACGATTAGCATAGCATGATTACGATGGAGTTGATAAGATAAGATAAAGCATGAAATCGTAATATTACCCCCCTGTTAAGGCAGTCGTCCCGACTGCGACGTTAGTTGGTTTAGGTAGGTATGCTCCTGCCAAGGTGTCGGGGTTTGGTTTGATCAAGTACTCCTGTATTGCTTGGACTAGCGGGTGATCGACTTCTGATTCAGTTACCGACTCTGTTTCTGACCCCGAGTCGGATTCGTCATTGTTCTCCTGCCAATCTGCTGGTGGCCTGGTGATGAAGGAGACCTGTTCGAAGTCTTCTATCGCTTCCCTGGCGTTGTCAAGTTCTTGTTCGTCTACCCAGGAATTTTCTTCCCATGGGTATCCCTTCCACTTGATGAGGTATTCGGTTTTTGCATGTTGCTTGCGACCCCGTCCCACTGTGCATTCTCGCCGATCTACTATTTCTTCCACCTCGTACTGTTCTTGCCTGTCTATCAAGTCTGGTGGTGGTGCTGTAGGCTGTATTTGGATTGGGAACTCCGGTGGATGATACAGGGTTAACAGGTTCTCGTTGAACCGATTGTGAATTTTCCAGCCCGAGGGTAATTTGAGCTCATATGCAGAGGCGCCCTTTTTAGAGAGTACTTCAAAAGGTCCCACTCGTTTGTCTCCCAGCTTCTTCATTGGTCGAGGCAAATGAAGATTGGTTGAGTCTAGCCAGACTTGGTCGCCCGGCTGATATTCTTGCGCCAGTCGTTGATGTTTGTCGTACTGGCGCTTCATTGTTTCTGCGGCCTTTTCGAGGGCCACGGCCGTCTGTTCGTGTATTTTTTGGATTTCGGCGACGAAGTCTCTGGCGGCTGGGTTTGTTCCTTCTTTGACGCGGAGGGGGG